TGTTTTGCTTGTTTTTTGTGGCTTTTGTTTTCTTGGTTCATTGGTTGTTTGGTTTCTAGTGTTTGTAAGCTATTTGGCCGCTTGGCTGCGTGTCTTTTTCACATGCCAACGCCCGCATTCATGAAGACATATCGGTCACCTGGATCATTTTTTTTTGGTTTCGTTACCTGGATCAAACAAATGCCAAGCTAAAGCAAATGCCAATAAAAATAACAAACAATGCTCAAACAGTACACATGTTTTCGTTTTATTTTGGGGGATCTCTGCAAACACTGTAGAGGCGGAAACTGCCGCAAATGGCATGGAAATGAAAGATGCAAACTCCGGCATATCTGCTAAATAGCATGGACATCAGAGATTCAAGCTCATAATTGCTGCAGATTGCCATGGAAAGAACGGCAACATCCAGGCTCCGAAACCCTGCTTGCTGCTTGTGGTTGTTGTTTTCTTGGGTTCTCGCGTTCCATGGCGGCTGTATTGTGGCTTCACTGTGCCCTCACTGTGGTTTCAATCTGGTTTTGCGGATTTGGTTTTGCGGATTTGGTTTCGCCTGGGTTGCTGGTTTCGCCTGGGTTGCTGGTTTCTTACACAGCAGCTGCAGCGGCAACGGCAACGGCAGCGGCAGCGGCAGCAGCGGCAGCAGCAGCAGCAACTCCAACAGCAGCAGCAACTCCAACAGCAACAGCAACAGCAACAGCAACAAGAAGAAAAACAAGAACAAGAACAAAGGAAAAAACAACGAAATCTAGCAAGGACATACGGATGACAAAACCAGGTAAGACAAGCAGCATTACAAGAACCTAACCCCCCTGCTGCACCGCAACATCAGCAAAATACCGCGGCAAATACGTGCAATACCGTGCCACGTTGCCGTGCGAACAGAAATTCAAACCCAAATTTATTGCAACTTGGGCACCGTATGTTCCAATTGCCAATGAGAAAGTTTCGCAAATGCTGCAAACAAGAAGAAAACTTCCCGAGGCCGGAAAACAGACAAATTTCCAAAAAAGGCCTCGCCCACTACTCTGTGTGTATACATCTGTACATGAGTATAGTATTGTATACTAAGTTAAATGTGTGTATATATATATATATACACATTTATATAAACGTTGGCCTGACACATCCTGTGGTTTTGCATGACGAAGTGCGCCGTATTCACCCATTGCCAGCAACTGACAACAAGAAACAAATGAACACTGATGAACATCATACCGGTAGCTCCCCAAACGATAGAAGACATATGCCCCTTACGCTGCTGAAGGCTGCTTAATTACTTGTGGATCTTGTGGGGACACCATGACCAAGTTGGCACCTTGCGAAGCTTCTGCCATTCCGACCAGACATGCTTCGTCTTTCGGCCCCAGCTCGCGGCAGCGCTAGATGCAAGGCAGAATCCTGCTTTCGCATAGCACCTCTGCGCTTGTTCCTTGGTTTCTGTCAGCGAACACCCAATGGCCATATACTGGAAGGGTTCAAACCCGAAATTGAAATATATCAAATAGGAAAAGCGGCCATCATCAGCACAAAAATCGTCTCAGGATGATTGTACCAGGAGATGTCCACAAAATTGTGAAACTTGCAGAGCATGCAGGGGTGATTGGCTAGTGGGTTTGACGGGATAAACCAAAGTTCAGCTGGAAAATCTAACCGAGGCAAAGGAAGAATCTTGAACTTTAAGTCCTCTTGTTGCTCCAAGCCGGGTCACGTTGTCTTTCAAGACAGTGAGAGACGTCTGCTCGCATTTCCAGCCTATGCCTTGGGACAACAACGAGAATGGTGCTCTCATGTGCTCTCTCTCTCTCTGTGTAACATGGATGAACCCTGAAGTTTGGATCCATGCCCAAGCATGGTTATACTGTGACTCTTGTGGCATATACCCAGTTGCTTGCCATTTGCACCAAAATCCGCATCATTCGATCAGAGAATCTCTTTGATCTATATGATTTCAATCGGGGATTTCAAAACCCTTGAGTCGTTGAATTGCTGAATTTGAAAGCAATAACAATAGCACTCATGGGTGACATTTTTTTATCAGGCAGCCAGAGCTGGATTGGTTCTGGGCCGCGAGGCTGAGACTATGTACATCTCTAACCTCCAAGGTGATGCTTAATCTAGACGTCTTTGAGTTACAAGGGCTGGGTCCGAAAAAGAAATCGCCTCAAGAAAAAACACAACCAGCATGACGTCCACCGCTCAAATCAAGCATGTTGACATCCAACATTGGATGGCCCTCATTTTGCTGCCTTTCTTTTTTACCTGCCAAGAGAAGCGCCCTACATAAGGATGAAACCTCGGCCCAACTCCAGCTAAGCATCTGCAGCTGTAACGCTCCGCTGCCTCCAGCAAAAGCCCGCCGAGACCTTGGCCCATGTGCTCTGCGTCAACCTGGGCAGGAGGAACTGGCTGGGCCACGACATGAAAGAGTCATCAAAGAAAGTTTAGTTAGCCAACATGCGAGTTACGGACTAATGGTCATGGCTAATCTTCACACCATCATGTCAACCTGAAACTGGAAGTTGCTAAACGCGATGTAACAGCTGCGACAAAGGTAGCTTCTGAGATATCTTCTGAGCATAGTACCACCCTTGCGCTATGTGTTGGGATTGCAGCTGGTTGCTAATTACTAAAGGCATTGCAATGGCCGTCCGAAGAGAAAAATGGGGGTACAAACACTACGCCAGAGGTAGATCAGAGAAGAACTAGCTAAGAGAAGGGTGTAGCTCGGGGCAGAAGCAGGTCAGAGAAGAGAGGTAACCCAGATGAAAGGCAGCTCTCAAAGAAGAAGTAGCTGAAAGAAGAGGTATCTCAGAGACGAGATTCATTGGTTCATTCATTCATCCATCTATCCATCCATCCATTCATTCATTCATTCATTCATTCATTCATTCATTCATTGATTTCTTTCATTCATTCAATCATTCATTCATTCATTCATTCATTCATTCATTTCATTCATTTCATTCATTTCATTCATTTCATTCATTTCATTCATTCATTCATTCATTCATTCATTCATTCATTCATTCATTCCATTCATTCATTCATTCATTCATTTATTCATTCATTCATTCATTCATTCATTCCATTCATTCATTCATTCATTTATTCATTCATTCATTCATTCATTTCATTCATTCATTTCATTCATTCATTCATTCATTCATTTCATTTCATTTCATTTCATTTCATTTCATTTCATTCCATTCATTCATTCATTCATTCATTTCATTCATTCATTCATTCATTCATTCATTCATATCATTCATTCATTCATTCATTCATTTCATTCATTCATTCATTCATTCATTCATTCATTCATTTCATTCATTCATTCATTCATTCATTCATTTCATTCATTCATTCATTCATTCATTCATTCATTCATTCATTTCATTCATTCATTTCATTCATTCATTTCATTCATTCATTTCATTCATTCATTCTTCATTCATTCATTCATTCATTCATTCATTTCATTCATTCATTCATTCATTCATTCATTCATTCATTCATTCATTTCATTCATTCATTCATTCATTCATTCATTTCATTCATTCATTCATTCATTTCATTCATTCATTTCATTCATTCATTTCATTCATTCATTTCATTCATTCATTCCATTCATTCATTCATTCATTCATTCATTCATTCATTCATTCCATTCATTCAATCATTCATTCATTTAATTCATTCATTCATTCATTCATCCATCCATTCATTCATTCATTTCATTCATTCATTCATTCATTCATTCATTCATTCATTCATTCATTTCATTCATTTCATTCATTTCATTCATTTCATTCATTTCATTTCATTCATTCATTCATTCATTCATTTCATTCATTCATTCATTCATCCATTCATTCATTCATTCATTCATTTCATTCATTCATTCATTCATTCATTCATTCATTTCATTCATTCATTCATTTCATTCATTCATTCATTCATTTCATTTCATTCATTCATTCATTCATTCATTCATTCATTTCATTCATTCATTCATTCATTCATTCCATTCATTCATTCATTCATTCATTTCATTCATTCATTTCATTCATTCATTTCATTCATTCATTCATTCATTTCATTCATTCATTTCATTCATTCATTCATTCATTCATTCATTCATTCATTCCATTCATTCATTCCATTCATTCATTCATTCATTCATGCATTCATTTCATTCATTCATTCATTCATTCATTTCATTCATTCATTCATTCATTCATTCATTTCATTCATTCATTCATTTCATTCATTTCATGCATTCATTCATTCATCCATTCCATTCATTTCATTCATTTCATTCATTCATCCATTCATACATTCATTCATTCATGCATTCATTCATTTCATTCATTCATTCATTCATTCATTTCATTCATTCATTCATTCATTCATTTCATTCATTCATTCATTCATTCCATTCATTCATTCATTCATTCATTCAATTCATTCATTCATTTCATTCATTCATTCATTCATTCATTCATTCATTTCATTCATTCATTCATTCATTCATCCATTCATTTCATTCATTCATTTCATTCATTCATTTCATTCATTCATTTCATTCATTCATTCATTCATTCATTCATTCCTTCATTCTTTCATTTCATTTCATTTCATTCATTCATTCATTCTTTCATTTCATTTCATTTCATTTCATTTCATTCATTCATTCATTCATTCATTTCATTCATTCATTCATTCATTCATTCCATTCATTCCATTCATTCATTCATTCATTCATTCCATTTCATTCATTCATTCATTCATTCATTCATTCATTCATTCATTCATTCATTCATTCCATTCATTCATTCATTCTTTCATTTCATTTCATTCATTCATTCATTCATTCATTCATTCATTCATCATTCATTTCATTCATTCATTCATTCATTCATCCATTCATTCATTCATTCATTCATTCATTCATTCATTCATTCATTCATTCATTCATTCATTCATTCCATTCATTCATTCATTCATTCATCATTCATTCATTCATTCATTCATTCATTCATTCATTCATTCATTCATTCCATCCATTCATTCATTCATTCATTTCATTCATTTCATTCATTCATTCATTCATTCCATTCATTCATTTCATTCATTCATTCATTCACATTCACATTCATTCATTCATTCATTCATTCATTCATTCATCATTCATTTCATTCATTCATTCATTTCATTCATTCATTTCATTCATTCATTCATTCATTCATTTCATTCATTCTTTCATTCATTCATTCATTCATTTCATTCATTTCATTCATTCATTCATTCAGTCATTCATTCATTTCATTCATTCATTCATTCATTCATTTCATTTCATTCATTCATTCATTCATTCATTTCATTTCATTTCATTTCATTTCATTCATTCATTCATTCATTCATTTCATTCATTTCATTCATTCATTCATTTCATTCATTCATTCATTCATCCATTCATCCATTCATCCATTCATCCATTCATCCATTCATCCATTCATTCATTCATTTATTCATTCATTCATTTATTCATTCATTCATTCATTTCATTCCTTCATTCATTCATTCATTCATTCCCTTCATTCATTCATTCATTCATTCATTCTTTCATTCCATTCCATTTCATTCCATTCCATTCCAGTCCAGTCCATTCCATTCATTCATTCATTCATTCATTCATTTCATTTCATTCATTCATTCATTCATTTCATTCATTCATTCATTCATTCATTTCATTCATTCATTCATTTCATTTCACTTCACTTCACTTCATTTCATTCATTCATTCATTCATTCATTCATTTCATTTCATTCCACTCCTTCATCCATTCATCCATCCATCCATTCATTCATTCATTCATTCATTCATTCATTTCATTCATTCATTCATTCATTCATTTCATTCCATTCCATTCCATTCCATTCCATTCCATTCATTCATTCATTCATTCATTCATTCATTCATTCATTTCATTCATTTCATTCATTCATTCATCCATTCCATTCCATTCCATTCCATTCCATTCCATTCCATTCATTCATTCATGCATTCATTCAATCATCCATTCATTCATTCATTCATTCATTCTTTCATTCATTTCATTTCATTTCATTCATTCATTCATTCATTTCATTCATGCATTCATTCATTCATCCATCCATCCATTCATTAATTCATTCGTTCTTTGCTTGATTCACCGGTTGATTGGTTTGCTCATGGGGGATTCCCTGAATCATGGATTCACTGATTCAAAGATTCAAGGTGGATGTTTGAAAACTTGGTTGGTTCATTCATTGTTTTATCAAGTCAATCATTCTTTCACTGAATGATTCACTCAAATGATTGGTTAGTTCATTCATCGATTCATTGATTCCTTGAGTAACTTATTCTTTCATTCATGCGTTCGTTCATTCATTCATTCATTTCATTTCATGTGCTTTGAACATTCCATCATTCATGTCATTCATGTCCTTTTCTTTCCTTTCATGTTTTTTCATTCATGTCATGTCACTCATTTCATTCATTTCACTCACTCAATCTCCTTCACCCCTTCATCTTTCAGTCCTTCATTCATTTCCCTTCCTCTCATTGCCTTTCACCTCATTTCATTTCATGTCATTTCATTTCATGTCATGGGATGTCATGCGTTTCATTCGTTTCAGTCATTTGGTTTCATTTCGCCTCATCTCATATATCTCATGCATTTCATTGATTTCATCAATTTCATTCATTGCATTCATGTCGTTAATTTCGTTCACTTCATTCATGTCATTCATTCATTTCATTAGTTTTGTTTTGTTAAATTCATTCCACTCCTTTCCAATTGTTTTATTCACTTCGTTTCGTTTCATGTCATTTCTTTCCTTTCGTTGCGTTTCATTTCATGTCATTTCATTTGGCTGAATTCCGTTTCATGTCATTTCATTCATGTCATGTATACATTCAATTACTCATCCAGTGTTTAACTCTACCATGAATCTTTTGTAGCGCATATTTCATTTGACTTTTTTGGCATCTCAACGATCATTTGCTCATTCATTGGTGCACCTCACAATCTCAATCTCTCATTGCTTCTGCATCCCACAAACATTCCTATAGGCCAATGACCTTCTATAGTCACAGTTTTTTGTTAAATTTCCGCTCAGCACGGCGCTATCTAGTATCCCAAGTAGGGGATGGGAACAACAACGACTGTTTGAAACAAACAAGCAAAAAACTATGTTGGAAAATCCAAGTGGCCTTTAAATGTGCGATGTAGAGTTCCTCCTCTTTAGGCGAATACTTCGCCTTAGGAAGCATCATGGATACGTTGAAGAAATCAAGCGACAAGCACAACACTACATCGAACCTCCTTAGTTATTTTCAAGACTTGGCAAGTGTGTCCGAACTTAGGGACTTTGCAACATCACCTCTGGCTATTGGAGTTGGTCCCTGGGACCGAAAGATGTGTGATGTTGACATTCGACATAGATCACCGCCTTAAAAATTCATCAGTATCAGTCAGTATCACAAGATCAAAACTTGAAAGCTCTATTACACACAGAGAAAACATGAGAAAGCCACATCAAGAAAGGGCCCGTCCAAGCGGCGTGCACATAGCCGGCGATGGATCCGCTTCTTGTCACGAGCGGCAAAGTGAAGTGGTCCGGCAAGTCGCCAGTCACCACTTTCTGAGCAGCGGAATTTTGCCAATGAAGGGGCCCAACGGCATCCGAATACTTCAATGGCAACTCTGGGTTTTGTTTGGGGCGTGTTCCTTGCGTTCGTACGGGACTTGCCCCACATGTATAGCTGAGGAACTTGCTATAAAATGCCTATGTGTGGGAATCACATCTCCAAACTCGTCGGCTTGAGAAGACCATGACAAGCTTGTGTGTTGCTGCCCCCCCAGGCAGAACTCCAAACCAAGCATCACGTCTGGGTTGCACATGTACAACGGATAGATGGAAGGATGGATGATTGTATTGGATTTCTAAACGCACGCACGCATCAATGCGTATCTACAAATGTATGCGAAGATGAAAGTATATGAACATATATGAACATGAATATAACAATCACCGAAGGAAGTTTAGTAGTCAAACTTCCGACAATATGGACAGATGAAAAGCAGAGATGGGAAGAGTCAGAGAGAAGAGAAGAGTAGAAGAGAGAAGAGTAGAAGAGAAAGAGTCAGAAGAAAGAAGATGCAGGTGCGCGAAAAGGTAGGAAAGTTGCGACACACTGTGTTTTTCCAATGATTTGTGGCTCTGGAGGGCCGAAAAGTAGGCTCGCTAAAGCGGCGGGTGCGGAGCCATCTGGCCAGATGAGAGATGAAAAAGTGCACGCCGTTGTGGCGCGAAGCACATTTGTAAGTAAAAAACAAAAAACACCTCACGTTCGGACCACTTTAGGAAGTGGCGATGTCGAGAAAGTGCGCGCCGTAGTGGCGCGAAGCACATTTTGAAGTCATTTTGAGCACAAAGAATTCCATTACAATACTATTTTGGGCCTTTTTGTTGGATTCTAGAGTGACACTATGTGTGACATTTTGTACCAAGTTTGGCGCAAAATGCGCAGGAACACAACCTTTAAATTGGTCCAGTCTAGTGCCTCCTACAAGAGTCCCCAGCAAGTCTCACCCTCAAAAGATCGTCTTGCAAACATGGCGATCAAGAAAAGATGTTATTGGCATATCTCTTGATATCTCTTGAAGGTGCGGATTGCCACCACGGCCAGGTGCAATTTGTCTCTGCCACAGACCAGCGGATCGCTATGTGCACTCCTGAACCTGAGTCTTTAGATTCCTCACCTCTCCGACCTCGCCAGGCAAGTCAAGCTGACAAGTGACTTCCCTCCATGAGTGATGCGTATAAGCCATCAAAACCCTGGCTATTTTCTCAGCATCCATATTGCCAACGACTTTCTTGATAGATATAGTCACAGGTACCCTCCAAAACATCATTTTTAATGGAAGTTGACTTCAGCCAGAAATCTCACAGGTTAAACACCCAGACCTTTTTCCTGTCTGTCACAGGAATTTCCAGCCTCCTCTTCATCACCAGTGGTTGAAGCCTCTTCACAGCATATGGCGACCTCGGATTCTCAATGTGTTAATGAGTTGGTGCTGGGATCATCCCAGCTTCAACTCTTGCCAGGGGACAAAGATTTTCAAAGGCTGTTGATGAAGAAGTTTGAGGAGAGGGGAGAGCAGCTTGAGATTTTAGGATGCGTATCACATGTCTTTCCTGCAAGGCAACCTCCTCAATTTTGCCTGCCTAAGTGTTAGCTCGTAGCTCTTGTCCAATCTCCATCGATTTAGACGTCAGATCTGTCCCACTTTGCATGTTGCAACTGATTTCTTCCAGCTGGTCTTCATAACTTTACCGCAATGGTGGCTGAACAAGTACGTACACTGCGATAAACTTGTTTGAACAGTTCAATGCTCCCAGGCATCCCGACGGTCTCCGGCACGCACATGTCGCAAAGAGAGAATACTGACGGCAACTACGCTGTACACTCGACAGCTAGGATGGCTGCAGGTCGGCAAATGTAAATCCATGTGGCTCTTCTTCTGCATCAATTCCTGCAGAGACATCCGATGTAGCCGTGAAAGTTGACGAGCAGTGACTTCTGTCGAAACGATGGAAGAGAAAGCCTTGACACCCATACTAACAGCAACCTTGAAAATATGTGAAAATATCATTCGATCACGCTCTGCCCCTCGAATAGTGAAACCTAAAGGGGGCCCTGCCAAAAATAGATGTGGTTGCAACCACCCATCACTGCAGGTGACACGGAGTTGATTGGGATTGCAATCCCATTCATAAAGACAAAGATGACAAAGGGGCCATCAGTCCCCACTGTTCTTCCAAAATTCTCATGTTCGTTGGTGAAATGGTCAATACAATTCCCGGGAAATGCATGACAAAATGATATTTCGACCGAAAGACATCGGTTTTTGCTCAAACTAATCTTAAACAGGGTCTCTCCTTGGCATTTTTCCAAAGTGCTCAGTTGTGTTCTTCATGATGGCCCAGGATTTCTCCGATTTCATTTCCAACATGTCCGGACAAAACAATTTGCCTTTCAGAGCAATTAATATACAAGCCCGAGGTTGCACACGGATGCTTACCCTGTTGCCCACAGGCAGTTCCGGCCTCCGTTTTTTCCAGCTTCCGTTGAGGCCACTTCACAGGATGTAGTGGCCTTGGTTGAGACTAGGATTCCCAATGGATGAGTTGGTGCTGGGATCATCCCAGCTTCAACTCTTGCCAGGGGACAAAGATTTTCAAAGGCTGCTGATGAAGAAGTTTGAGGAGAGGACAGTTTGAGATATTGGGATGCGCATTACATGTCTTTACTGGAAGGCAATTTCTCCAGTCTTCCCTGGCTAGATGTTAGCTTCCGTCCACTCTCCATGGACGCACATCATTTTGAAAGTCATCTCTGTCCCATATAACTGATTTCTTCCAGGTGGTCTTCATAACTTTGACTCAAATGCAACTGGTTCAATACACGATGAACTGTTCAAGCAGTTCGAAGCTCCCAGGATCCTGACTGTTATGCCCATGTCGAACGGTCTAAATTTGCAGCAATCCTAGCTGTCGAGTGTAGGTAGTTGTTGTGCGTACTTCAGCGAAAATGCGCAAGGCAACTATCTACACTCGACAGCTAGGATTGCTGCAGGTCGGCAAATGTAAATCCATGTGGCTCTTCTTCTGCATCAATTCCTGCAGAGACATCTGATGTAGCCGTGAAAGTTGACGAGCAGTGACTTCTGTCGAAACGATGGAAGAGAAAGCCCTCATACCCATACTAACAGCAACCTTGAAAATATGTGAAAATATCATTCGATCACGCTCTGCCCCTCGAATAGTGAAACCTAAAGGGGGCCCTGCCAAAAATAGATGTGGTTGCAACCACCCATCACTGCAGGTGACACGGAGTTGATTGGGATTGCAATCCCATTCATAAAGACAAAGATGACAAAGGGGCCATCAGTCCCCACTGTTCTTCCAAAATTCTCATGTTCGTTGGTGAAATGGTCAATACAATTCCCGGGAAATGCATGACAAAATGATATTTCGACCAAAAGACATCGGTTTTTGCTCAAACTAATCTTAAAGAGGGTCTCTCCTTGGCATTTTTCCAAAGTGCTCAGTTGTGTTCTTCATGATGGCCCAGGATTTCTCCGATTTCATTTCCAACATGTCCGGACAAAACAATTTGCCTTTCAGAGCAATTAATATACAAGCCCGAGGTTGCACACGGATGCTTACCCTGTTGCCCACAGGCAGTTCCGGCCTCCGTTTTTTCCAGCTTCCGTTGAGGCCACTTCACAGGATGTAGTGGCCTTGGTTGAGACTAGGATTCCCAATGGATGAGTTGGTGCTGGGATCATCCCAGCTTCAACTCTTGCCAGGGGACAAAGATTTTCAAAGGCTGCTGATGAAGAAGTTTGAGGAGAGGACAGTTTGAGATATTGGGATGCGCATTACATGTCTTTACTGGAAGGCAATTTCTCCAGTCTTCCCTGGCTAGATGTTAGCTTCCGTCCACTCTCCATGGACGCACATCATTTTGAAAGTCATCTCTGTCCCATATAACTGATTTCTTCCAGGTGGTCTTCATAACTTTGACTCAAATGCAACTGGTTCAATACACGATGAACTGTTCAAGCAGTTCGAAGCTCCCAGGATCCTGACTGTTATGCCCATGTCGAACGGTCTAAATTTGCAGCAATCCTAGCTGTCGAGTGTAGGTAGTTGTTGTGCGTACTTCAGCGAAAATGCGCAAGGCAACTATCTACACTCGACAGCTAGGATTGCTGCAGGTCGGCAAATGTAAATCCATGTGGCTCTTCTTCTGCATCAATTCCTGCAGAGACATCTGATGTAGCCGTGAAAGTTGACGAGCAGTGACTTCTGTCGAAACGATGGAAGAGAAAGCCCTCATACCCATACTAACAGCAACCTTGAAAATATGTGAAAATATCATTCGATCACGCTCTGCCCCTCGAATAGTGAAACCTAAAGGGGGCCCTGCCAAAAATAGATGTGGTTGCAACCACCCATCACTGCAGGTGACACGGAGTTGATTGGGATTGCAATCCCATTCATAAAGACAAAGATGACAAAGGGGCCATCAGTCCCCACTGTTCTTCCAAAATTCTCATGTTCGTTGGTGAAATGGTCAATACAATTCCCGGGAAATGCATGACAAAATGATATTTCGACCAAAAGACATCGGTTTTTGCTCAAACTAATCTTAAAGAGGGTCTCTCCTTGGAATTTTTCCAAAGTGCTCAGTTGTGTTCTTCATGATGGCCCAGGATTTCTCCGATTTCATTTCCAACATGTCCGGACAAAACAATTTGCCTTTCAGAGCAATTAATATACAAGCCCGAGGTTGCACACGGATGCTTACCCTGTTGCCCACAGGCAGTTCCGGCCTCCGTTTTTTCCAGCTTCCGTTGAGGCCACTTCACAGGATGTAGTGGCCTTGGTTGAGACTAGGATTCCCAATGGATGAGTTGGTGCTGGGATCATCCCAGCTTCAACTCTTGCCAGGGGACAAAGATTTTCAAAGGCTGCTGATGAAGAAGTTTGAGGAGAGGACAGTTTGAGATATTGGGATGCGCATTACATGTCTTTACTGGAAGGCAATTTCTCCAGTCTTCCCTGGCTAGATGTTAGCTTCCGTCCACTCTCCATGGACGCACATCATTTTGAAAGTCATCTCTGTCCCATATAACTGATTTCTTCCAGGTGGTCTTCATAACTTTGACTCAAATGCAACTGGTTCAATACACGATGAACTGTTCAAGCAGTTCGAAGCTCCCAGGATCCTGACTGTTATGCCCATGTCGAACGGTCTAAATTTGCAGCAATCCTAGCTGTCGAGTGTAGGTAGTTGTTGTGCGTACTTCAGCGAAAATGCGCAAGGCAACTATCTACACTCGACAGCTAGGATTGCTGCAGGTCGGCAAATGTAAATCCATGTGGCTCTTCTTCTGCATCAATTCCTGCAGAGACATCTGATGTAGCCGTGAAAGTTGACGAGCAGTGACTTCTGTCGAAACGATGGAAGAGAAAGCCCTCATACCCATACTAACAGCAACCTTGAAAATATGTGAAAATATCATTCGATCACGCTCTGCCCCTCGAATAGTGAAACCTAAAGGGGGCCCTGCCAAAAATAGATGTGGTTGCAACCACCCATCACTGCAGGTGACACGGAGTTGATTGGGATTGCAATCCCATTCATAAAGACAAAGATGACAAAGGGGCCATCAGTCCCCACTGTTCTTCCAAAATTCTCATGTTCGTTGGTGAAATGGTCAATACAATTCCCGGGAAATGCATGACAAAATGATATTTCGACCAAAAGACATCGTTTTTTGCTCAAACTAATCTTAAAGAGGGTCTCTCCTTGGCATTTTTCCAAAGAGCTCAGTTGCGTTCTTCATGATGGCCAAGGAGTTGATTGGGATTGGTGAAATCCACAGGTTTGAGGGATACACGGCATATCTGCTTGGCTAGTGAGGCATGACACATTGCCCCAGCTGCCAGATACCTGGAAGTCATCCCCTTCAACTTGCACAATGATGGAAATTCAATAGTAATAAGTAATACACAAAGGATCATAAAGGACATTGATATTGATATATTTTTTTCCGTCGTAAACCCGACTATCTAATAGGTTTTCAATCTGGGCCCCCACTGTTTCAAACTGGGCTCCTAAAGAAAAGTCACAAAGCATCCTTTTTATGGTCATCAAAAGGGCCAAATATTTGTCGGAGTCAGAATGACTTCTGGTGCATGGATTCAACCACGTTGGAACGGAGGAAAGTGCGCTTTACATCCTATCACTAGAAGGCAACTGACCCAAGAACTCCCCAATTTGCAGACAAGAACACAGAACACCTCTAGTGACTAGACTTTAGTGCACTATATGGACCCATATCGCTTCTTAGTTATGTTTGCAAAGTCATATATAATTAATTGGTCGCGTTTTTGCATTCTGGTATGTGGCCCGTTTGGACACGTGGCTGCAACGGCTCAAGTCCTTCAGCTTCTTCTTCTTCATGCTCGCAGCATGAAACATGCGCAGCCACTCATCAAGGCTGTTCTCTCCATGCTCCTGGCACTCAGCACTTTGAAACTGCACAGTCAGATCGCAGGTCCCAAAATTCCCAAAGCCCATCTTGGAGCCTTTGAGCTCGAAAGTTTACAGAAATATTTGGCATTGACAAAATTGAAGACCACCAACTTTGAACGACTGCAAGTTGCATTCGATGGTCTCCTATGGTCTCCTGCACAATGGCGATGAAGGAGCGTTGACCATGCAAAATCCAGCACTTGCCTGGGAAACCATGCAAAATCCAGCATCTTCCACCATTTTTTGCCGCAAACTGCTGAGTGGTGAGGTATGCTGCCAAGAAATGGTTCTTGCTGTCCTGGCAGGTGGAAATTCAAGCAGCGTCACGTTCAAATGATCGAAACTGCGATGGAAATATATGGAAATAGTGAAAAAATGTGAAAAACACTTGGGGAGAATCTGCCGACCATTTTTCTGGATCTTCCTGCCTCCTCTGGTTTCTCACTAGGAGAGCAAGCTGCATCTTCCTCATCTGAGACACATGACAGGTCTGCAGATCAAAAGGATCAATGGGAAAAACCCAACGGAGGAAGCTGCGAAACTCCGTGCCTTTGAAATGAACAAGAAAAGGTGCTATCTGCGATCAAATGGAGATTCATGCTATATCAGACTCCAGATCAACCCATCAGAGACCCTTGTCAAATGCCAGAACAGCTAGAGTTCCTTGTCCAACAACTCCTCAGAACAGCCGCCTTCAAATTCTAAAACTCCAGGCCCATAGCTCTTGGCCGACACCAATCTCCCCATCCATTGCCGAAATTTCATGGTTTTCCGCCTCCACAATGCGAAGAAAATGTCACACGTCTCACTGGAGACACTGAGTCAAACAGAATTTCTGGCCATTGAGACAAATCTTGCAGTGCATGGATGTGCATGGTATATTGACCATCAGAACACCAGACGAACGGTGAAGGTAATCAGCCCTTGGAGGCAGCAGCAAAAAGATCAGGCAAAGGTATCTATACATACCTTTCCAAAATGGCTACATTCGTGCAACCTCCTTCAGTCTGAAACTCCAAGTCGTTCCATGTTCCATTCCAGCATGACAACGAACGAAACCCTGCGTGTGTCATCCCTTCTATACCATCTGGTTAATGCAAGGGTTTCAATAAACCTGGCAATCTCGCCCCCAACGACGTAAAAAAGAAAACACAATATGACTATGAGTCAAAATCCTGGTACCCTAGGTATCCTAAAATAGCTGGCTAATGGGTGTTTATTCCCCGAGATATGGAAATAGAATGAAATATGGAAATCATATGAAATCATAGATTTCGACCCATCCCCACATCAAAGATGTGTAAAGCACAGTTAAACCCCCATTTCACAGGTGAAATGGACACCTGAAGCCATCCACCAGGCTAGGGCGTGGCCTGAAAAGGCACCCGTGACAGTCGTGGTGTTTCATGGTGCCACTTAGATGTCTGGAGGGCAATGTTTGGTTTATTGGATCCCTGCTTTTGATTGAATCATATTGAGATATATATATAATATTATATATATATGATATTATATGATGTATTGAGATATGTTGAGATATGTTGAGACACAGATTCAAAATGAACTCAAAATCATCCCAAATCTGTGGGTCGGACATGCAAATCTTTGAGAAATGTGAGCACTGAAGGCAACATCCATAGGCCACTGGCTGTGAAGGCCTCGAGACTTCCACCGGCGGTGCAGTGGGGCTCTCCTGACCGCGGTGCCATAAGGGCCGATGGTTCAGATCCAATGATATCCAATCCGCCGGCCTGCCGGCGTGTCTGATTGTGAGGTGTTGTTCTTGTGTCTGTTCTTGTTTTGTACTTGTTTCTGTTCTTGGCTTGTACTTGTTCCTTTGTTATCTTCCCGCGCGTTTTTGCTTCGTCTGAATCAAAGTCACCCCCCCTCCCCCGTGGCTTGGACTGTTCCGTTCTATGTGACGGCTGCGCTTGTGAAGAAATAGAGCAGTCTATTAATGAAACATGCATGCATAAGTCTAAGTATTATATTTATAAACTTATCATACATGGATTAAAATACATGTGTATGTATAGACATACATACATAAGATTACATTACCTTACTTTTCGTCACGTTAGATTACATAACAAAACAAAACATAACATACGCAACCATACATAATTACATACTAACTAAATGCATACATTCATAGATACAGACATAGAAAAAACCCATACAGGCATGCATTCATACGTATGCATACGTATGCAGAGAAGCACGCGGGGTTCGCGGGGTTGGCGGCAACATGTACAAAACACAACATGTATATAACAACCATATATCTTCATGTGCACGTCTATGACCTATAATATGTATGCATATATATATATATGTTATATGTATATATGTATATATGTATATGTATGTATATATATATATATGTGTGCATGTAAGCAAACACTGATATATTGCGTATACCCTATACCAGTACAGAAAGATGGATGGACAGATAGGCAAACACATAGAAACAAGCAGATACAGTTATATAGATACAAGTAGAGACATGGCAGTTTCCAGCTCCAAAATGCTGTAAATTGCAGGGAACACGGACAGAACAGCAAATCCGAAAAAAAAATATACCAGCGTTGACCCCAAACAGATGTAGAAATTTTCAATTATATTGTACATGCAAACCAAGGAACCCAGAGTGGGAGACAAGTGTGGGAGACAATTGGAAGACAAGTGTAATCTCAGCCCAAAGAACCCAGAGTGGGAGACAAGTGTGGGAAACAAGAGTGGGACACAAGTGTGGGAGACAAGTGTGGGAGACAAGTGGGAGACAAGTGTACCCTCATGCGCACCCAGACATCCAGAGTGGCAGATACGTGTGGGAGACAAGTGGAAGACAAGTGTAAACTCATGCGGCCCAAGGCACCCAGAGTGGGAGACAAGTGTGGAAGACAGGTGTGGGAGACAAGTGGGAGACAAGTGTAAAATCATGCGGCCCAAGACACCCAGAGTGAAAGACAAGTGTGGGAGACAAGTGGAAGACAAGTGTAAACTCATGCGGCCCAAGGCACCCAAGTGTGAGGGACAAGTGGGAGACAAGTGTAAAATCATGCGGCCCAAGACAACCAGAGTGAAAGACAAGTGCGGGAGACAAGGGGGAGACAAGTGTAAACTCATGCGGCCCAAGGCACCCAGAGTGGGAGACAAGTGTGGGAGACAAGGGAGAGACAAGTGTAAACTCATGCGGCCCAAGGAACCCAGAGTGGGAGACAAGTGTGGGAGACAAGTGTGGGAGACAAGTGTGGAAGACAAGTGTAGGAGACAAGTGTGGCAGACAAGTGGGAGACAAGTGTAAACTCATGCGGCCCAATGCACCCAGAGTGGGAGACAAGTGTGGGAGATAAGTGTGGGAGACAAGTGCAAAGTCATGCGGCCCAAGACACCCAGAGTGAGAGACAAGTGTGGGAGACAAGTGGAAGACAAGTGTAAACTCATGCGGCCCAAGGCACCCAGAGTGGGAGACAAGTGAGGGAGACAAGTGTGAGAGACAAGTGTTGGAGACAAGTGGGAGACAAGTGTGAAAATCATGCGACCCAAGACAAACAGAGTGAAAGACAAGTGTGAGAGACAAGTGGAAGACAAGTGTAAACTCATGCGGCCCAAGGCCCCCAAGTGTGAGGGACAAGTGGGAGACAAGTGTGTAATCATGCGGCCCAAGGCACCCAGAGTGGGAGACAAGTGTGGGAGACAAGTGTGGGAGACAAGTGGGAGACAAGTGGGAGACAAGTGTAAACTCATGCGGCCCAAGGCACCCAGAGTGGGAGACAAGTGTGGGAGACAAGGGGGAGACGAGTGTAAACTCATAAGGCCCAAGAAACCCAGAGTGGCAGACAAGTGTGGGGGACAAGTGTGGGAGACAAGTGTGGGAGACAAGTGTAAACTCATGCGCTCCCAGACATCCAGAGTGGGAGACACGTGTGGGAGACAAGTGTGGGAGACAAGTGTAAAAAATAATGCGGCCCAAGACACCCGGAGTGGGAGACAAGTGTGGAAGACAAGTGTAAACTCATGCGGCCCAATGCACCCAGAGTGGGAGACAAGTGTGGGAGACAAGTGTGGGAGACAAGTGGGAGACAAGTGTAAACTCACGCGGCCCAAGACACCCAGAGTGAAAGACAAATGTGGGAGACAAGTGGAAGACAAGTGTAAAATCATGCGGCCCAAGGCAACCAAGTGTGAAAGACAAGTGGGAGACAAGTGTAAAATCATGCGGCCCAAGACAACCAGAGTGAAAGACAAGTGTGGGAGACAAGTGGAAGACAAGAGTAAAATCATGCAGCCCAAGGAAACCAGAGTGTGAGGGACAAGCGGGAGACAAGTGTAAAATCATGCGGCCCAAGGCACCCAGAGTGGGAGACAAGTGCGGAAGACAAGTGGAAGACAAGTGTAAACTCATGCGGCCCAAGGCACCCAGAGTGGGAGACAAGTGTGGGAGACAAGTGGGAGACAAGTGTAAACTCATGCGGCCCAAGGCACCCAGAGTGGGAGACAAGTGTGGGAGACAAATGGAAGACAAGTGTAAACTCATGCGGCCCAAGGCACCCAGAGTGCGAGACAAGTGTGGGAAGCAAGTGTGGGAGACAAGTGGGAGACAAGTGTAAACTCATGCGGCCCAAGGCACCCAGAGTGGGAGACAAGTGTGGAAGACAAGTGTAGGAGACAAGTGTAAAGTCATGCGGCCCAAGGCACCCAGAGTGGGAGACAAGTGCGGAAGACAAGTGGAAGACAAGTGTAAACTCATGCGGCCCAAGGCACCCAGAGTGGGAGACAAGTGTGGGAGACAAGTGGAAGACAGCAAGGAGTCTAGCCCAATTGCAGCCAACAGTTTCTGAAATCTGGTACGCATTGTTTGACCTGACATTGGCCGGCCAGAGTTTCTGCTCGGGTCTCAAAGCTCGAAAAGCGAGATCAACGAGCCTCAGAAGCTGTGGTTGGTCAAGTCGTGCACTTTGGTGATGGGCTCCACTGAACCTAGTCTTTGGCTCTGAGATTTCCAACAGCGCAAAAGTTGTTGAACCGCCCACATCTGCAGGGAGGATCAGGTTCTTCCGTAAAGCTCCTAGAACTTCCCCTATCCTTGTGATGCCACCCCAAGACAGTGCTATCACTCCTGCAACTCGTAACCATCCCCAGCTGACTGAGATAGTAAGAATTGACAGCAGCGCTTGCCATGGAAGCGCAATGTGATGGATAGGAGGTTCTAGCCTGAGCCACGTGTAGGCAAGATCCCAAGCCGCCTGCAGGTTCCTGCGAAGGGCAGGCTTCTTTGCAGCGACGCTGTTGATAAGCTCTGCATAGCGATTGTAAGGTCGACCTGCATCAAAAAGAGCCCTTCCGTACTTTTCCAGCAAAAGATTGATACCCTCAACATCTGGAACTGGGGTCATGACGAGCTCCTCAAAAGAGACACCTTGCAATCTCAACCATCCAGTAAAATGATCCAACAGCTTGTCGCGATAGTGCTGTGTCTGGCCAAGCACAGGGCGGCCAACCACCCAATAAAAACTTATTTGGGGCTTATGGGGGTACCTGGCACCATTAAATCCAAACCCAACTGCACAGCTGACGGAAATCCAGATCCCAGAGATGAGAGAAGAAGAGAGGCTGGTCGGTGACAGGCAGAAGGTGTGGCTGAGGAGCAGGGCATAAGTCCAAAATCCAGGCCCTTCCCCAGGGAAACCGCAAGAGGAATCAAAGTCGACAGAATGCGAGACTCTCTGCAAGAAAGGCTTTGAGGAGAAAGGCATGGCTGAGTAACTCAAATGGGAAAACTTCCAGCATTCCTGATCTTCCTTCCAAGGAAGGGATCCGCCATAAACGAGCAGAAAAAGCCTGACCCAATTCGATGCAAATCTCCTCAAGGGCCCAACATTGGAGATCGCATACAGATCTCTTACCGCTGGGAGCAGTTCAGAAAAAGACTTGCAGGGTGAAGGCAGCTCGCTGTCTCTTGTTGGGCAATCTGCAATGTTGAGGCGGGTTGGCCCAAAATGGTAGGCAGGATAAAGGCACCCAGCAACTGCTACCGCACCTGTTCTCCTCAAGACCTTCCGAAGTCCATGAGAAGGCGACCTCCCCTTGACAAAAGCAGACAAACCAACGTTTGAGTCCATGACAATGCTGAATCTAGAACTGGGGTGAACAAGGGCTCCACGTTTCATCAGCCTATAGACAGAAGCTGACTCCTGGATATTGATGTGCGCGGCGCGGGCACCTTCCATTCCCACTGCTGTTCAACCTTCCAATCACCCGACACCAGCAAATCATTGCAAAGAGGGGTCTCCAAGCCTAGCACTTCTGGAGTCTGCTCGCTCTTCTCTCGCAGCTTTCTCTTCAATGCTCTATGACAACACTCTGCAAGGGTGTAGGCAAGCTCATCTGTGTACACTGCAGAGGCCTTGGTGTAGGACCCTTGAATGGGAACATGATCATGATCCCGGGAGCACTTTCGGTGAAGCATGTTAGATGGAAGGCCAGCACACAAAAAGACAAACTCCTTCAAATGGATCGACCCAAAAGCACAAGACGCCGTCCACTGCTCCTCAGCCAAGAGATGCTCCAGGAGAAAGATCCACTCAGAAAGCTTTCTCATTTTGGACTTACGAGGCTGCTCCAGCAAGCCAGGCTTCTGTAGCCGGGCGGCGGAAACATGAGAGTCAAGGCACGCAGGGCTAGCACTGTCCCTTCCAGGGTCTTTGGGTCAAGGGGAAAATATCCTCGAGGACAGTCATACCCTCTTGACGCTGGATGCTGAGCAGGACTGAAAGTTGTGCAAGGAGGTTCAACCATGAAGCTGTCGAGGAGGTCATTCTCTAAAAGGTGCAAAATCCAGGCCAAAACTCTGATGTCACGCAAGTTGTAGTGCCCTGATGCATCTAAGTCAAGGACAGGGCCGCAGGTCCATCCACGCTGGCTAAGGTATTTGGTGACCTTCCCAGCCCCACCGCAAATTTCAATGAAGTGGTATCTGTGAGCCCGAGGCCTGTCGAGGCGAGGCAAACTGGGAGGATCGTCATCATGGTTACCACACTCCTCAAAGTCAGGGTCAAGCTTTCGGATCAAGGCTTCCGCTCTAGAGTGCATCCTGGCATAGCCTCCTTTCTTTCGGCCAGTGCGCCACATAACACGGGCAATGTCATGTGAGACTGGCCTGGACATGAAGGCTCCCTTCCTGTCTGACGCATCTGAAGCGTAAATTCGATCAAACATAGTTGCTGAGAGATCGGTGACCATGAGCGGGCAGAGCACTGATAACAGGACCAGTTCCTGCGCAACACTTCTGGCAAGCTGCACAAGTCTAGGCATATCTCGATCTATGTCCGATGCCTTGACAAGCCCAAACGCCTCACTCAGGATTGCCATCAGGGGTCGGCGGGAAAGGAGGGAATGGACCCAACCTCCCATCAAGCACAAGTGTAACACATCTGTAGTTGAGGGCAGCTTTGCTAACTCCAAAGAGATATATGCTAAGGCAAGTCGCTTCCTCACAGGTGATCCAAGCGGCACAACCCCCAATGCTCTGACAGCTGGGGATGAGTCAAGCTCGCCTCCAATGATCTTTGCCTTGTCTGCTTCGACAACGTCTTTTGCATCAGAGCCTAACAGACCCTCAGACTCATAGACTGACTTTGCCTGGCAAAACGCCTTGAAAGCTTCAGAGGATCCAGCCGGGCATGCTGCATGTTGAACCGAAACAGAAAAGAAATCATCAATCACCAAACCTTGAAGTGAGGAATGCCCCTCAAAAACCTTGTCTGATCTCAGCTCCTGCGCAGGGGGCAGCAAACCATTAGCTGCCAACAAACCACGATGTGCTTCAGTTGCAAACTCGACCCCAAGGTGATCGCCTTGAGGAATTGAATTGAAACAAGCCTGGAAAAGTCCATCATGTCTGTCCAACCCTGCACGGCTGCCACCAAACTTGTCACCGTGCTTTGTTCTGTCATATCGGTATTGACTACTTCGAAGTTGTAAATCATCATAAGCTTTCAAACCATCCACGTCATCCTCATTCAACAGGGGCCAAACTCCATTGGAACATGCACGCTCTGAAGTGACCTGAAACTGGTGGTAAAAGTCACGCCTGTCAGAAATGCAAATGCTCACTGATTGCCAAAGGGGATCTACTTCCACAACTGACAGTTGTTGAGCCGTAGGTAAAGCCCTGGAAACTCCAGGTATACGGCCTTCCCTCCAGTTTCTGAGGCGTCTGTCTCCAATCATCCTATCACACTCCGGTGACTTATAGTTGTTGAAGAACCTCATAGCCCCATCACTCCAGTGAAAGTCGCTAGGAACCCTACGCAAAAACAAAAGGCCCTTTGCGTCCCAGAGCTTGGCAAGCTGAACCGTCGATGTGTGGCTCTCCTTGTTGAGATTGGGGATGTCATGGATGGGCAGCTCATTGGTCCAAATCAAGCTGGCGGGATCGACGTACGCAAGCCACAATGAGTCAGAGAGGTACTGCTGGGGGTCCCAGGCTGCAGAGCCTACTATCTTCAAGCGGCTCGGATCAAGGTCTCTGTAAGGGCGAAGCTCTTCGGCTCGCATCAAGTCCTGTGGGACTTCAGAGATTCCATCCGCAGCTCCAGGAAACCCTCTTCTGTAACTATCACCTCCAGCACCTTCCCAAGTCAAAACTTCACCAAGGTCGGCCAAGAGGGAAACAAGTGTTGCTGATCTACGGCCACTGCCAGGTACCTCAAAACTGTCCTGACCGCTACCGAAGGCCTTCAGCAGGTTTCGCAGGCGATCCAGCGTCGCCAACTCAGCCCCAGAGGGGTTCACCGCCAAAGCTGAAGTGTGGATAAACCTGCAATCAGAGTGGAGGAAGTTCAGGGCCATCACAACAATATGAAATGCCTGATCAAAACTTCTCCTTGCCCCCTTTCTCGAGCCCCACAACGCTTGGCCTGAAACACACCCTCCTTTGTAGTAAATTTCCTGTTGGTTTGGCCCACACGCACGGACCCCACGAAGTCTTGGAGAGACACAGGAAAACCCACGTTTTTGGACCCTGGGGACATGACTTGGGGGGGTCCGTTTTGGAGGCCCCACCAGAAGGAAATTTGGCACTCCTTTGGAACCGGCAGAGGAAAAATGGCCAGTTCAGAGGCTGTCGTAGAACCTCTGGCAACATGGAGGGTAGTCTTCACGAACTCGCTGAAAGGAGTCCTAGACTTCAAAACTTGTGCACACAGCGTGGAACACCAGGCGCCAAAAGAAAAAGTCTGCAATGAGCCCCACGTTAGAAGCCCTTCGAATTTCTGCCTGGCAGGGAAGCTCCCCGGAACAGAGGCAGATTTGCCCTGGCATCCACCAGGTTCATAGTTGGCAGCAGCAGAGGGTGCAGCGTCGGCTGGGCTCGTCGGGCTCATGAAGCAAGTCACGCCCACTCTGGCAGCTGCCAGGGCAAGGCCGAGGGGAGCACATCCCGGGCACTAGGGCTCAGGATCACCTCACCCTCCTCTGGCGGGAGCACGCCCCGGGTTTGCACGCCCAGAGCCACCTCACCCTCACAGAGAGGCCAAGAGCCTGAGAACCTTTCAAGTTCGCCTCAGAATGCTTTTCATCGCCATGAGGACATGGATCTTGCTGTGACAAAGGAGGTTTGCGGCCGGTCCAACACCCATTCGTCATGGGGGGCCAAGGGGAGCCCATCCCGAGCCAGCGGGCCCAGGATCACCTCACCCTTCTCCGGAGGGAGCCCGCCCCGGGTTTGCACACCCAGAGCCACCTCACCGTCACGGAGAGGCCAGGGACCAAAAGAGGCCAGCATAGCTCTCCTGTCATCTAAGCTTCTTCTCCCTTGCTCGCTCCCTTTGGTTTCTTGGGAGTTCTCGGAGGACGCCTTGGTTGAGCAGGATCCTTGTCTTCGTCCTTCTTGCTCTTCTTGCCTGGAATGGCCTCTTGTCTCCTCGTGTTGATGATGTCCAACTCCTTGACGTAGCTGAGGGAGGTCGCCGCCCAATCGGCAGGGCACAAAGGGGCAAACGCCCGGAGGCGAGGATTCGAGGAATGGGGGCGGCTGGTGAAGACTTCAGGAGGCGGGTCTTCTTGAAGTGAAAGGAGCCATGCAACCGCTCAAGCTTGCTCTACGGAAGCAAGCACCAATGCCATCATCTCCATTGCCCCGTGGGAGTCGCCCTGAATCATCTGGTCGGCTACCTGACATAAGAGCCACATCACAAGCCCAAGATCTCGGCTGGAAGAGTAGCCACCATGTCGTTCCAAGTACTTCGCAAAGAGAGGCTTCCCACCAAAATCTTCCAAGGAGCGGGGAAGAGGGTCCGAAGGCTTCAGCCTCCGGTGAGCATTCTGTGCAACCTTCAGCATGAAGTTCCCCTTCCGAGTTGCTAAGTTGTTCAAGACCCTCTCCCTCTTGCCAGAACCTTTCAAGGAGATCGCAGTCGCCATGCCAGGAGCCCCCAAATCTTGAAGTCCATCTTGAGAAGAGATGTGGGCCACCAATGCTGTCAGTGCCTGAGACTGCTGGAGGAGCAGTTGCTGAACGCTCCCACTTGAGGCCTCTGGAACCCCAGCTGTCTCTATCTGCTCTTGATAACCTTCTTCTGAGGGAAGGACGTTCGGCTCTTCTCCAGGAAAACCTTCGCCTGGAAGCAGGCCAGGGACAGTAGCGCTTGTGGTTGGCCTCACCTTGGGCGGTGGACCTATGCTGTGAAGAAACCTTGATGCCGCTAGAGCTGGGGCCTTTGAAGAAGGAAGGCCAAAGGGCTGCCGGTAGGGGGGTATCTTTGCCTGAGCCCCTGCTGACGTCACAATACCTTCCAACTTCTCCTGGTTTGCCTGCAGGCTGCGGAGCTGATCCAAAACTGCTGGGAGCGCTTCTGCAATGGCCGTCACCTGCTCTGCAAGGGCAGCTGTAGTTATCTTCTTGGCACCTCTCTTGGGGGCAGGAGCAGAGGCCGTGGGTGAGGCACGCATCAGTTCCTCCTCCAGTGCTGTGTAGAAGCCTCCAGCAATTGTTGAGGCGCTGGATAAATCTCTGGAGAGCCTTGACAAAAAGAGTGGATCCCCTCCTCTTCGGTGACTGGGTCGTAGAGCCTGAGGTTGTCCAAAATCCCCAGGCTGAAGTCCACTAGCAGGACGTCCACGTCGTAACCTGCTGCAGTCTCTGAGCCATCCTCCTCCTCGATCACCGCAGGGAGAGAGATTTGAGTGCTTGGACCCAACATGTCTGTATGCACTGCCGCATTTCCCTCCTCCAAAACCTGAGTTGGGAAGAAGCCCACAGGGATGGCCACCATCACTCCTTCTCGGCGGTTCATCACAGGGATGGCCATCGTCTCCCCGCTGTCGGGAAGGGCTGGAAGATCTCCTGGGGCTTTCAGAACATGTTGATACACCAAACCCTGGTCCACAGTCTTGAGGGCCTTCAACTTCTGCATGAACGAAGTCATTGCTCTGCAGGAAGGTCAATACCAAGGGCCAGGCAGTATACTGATGCCTCTGCCACAGATGGGAATCCGTGGGACAGTGAATCCTCTGTGAATCTTGGGACCAACTGGTAGTAAGCAGCCGCTGATGACACCCGGACAGGATGCCGAAGACCAGCACCACGTACCACAATGTATGTGGTGGTCCGAACCTCGATCTTCGGGTCGGTCTTGGCTTTGGGATCTTCCCCTCAACCACTGCCCTTGCCCACAAGCCTGCTTCCCTGCTTCCCACGCACGCTGAACTCGAAACTTGACAAACTCAGATGTTCCAGAGAGCCTGTTGCAAAGATCAAAGCAGTGCTGAGGTGCTTTAGTAAGCAACCGGGCAACCTCGTCGTAGCCAGCGTTCGGAGAAGTTCGAGCAGAGTCCAAACCAGGAGATGGCTGAACAGCAGCTGTCGAAGCAGGAGGACCAGAAAGAAGATCCCAATCTGGCGCCCTCGAAGTAGAGCCTGATGTCGATCTTGACCTTTCCTCGTGACTCTCCTCCTCAAGGGCTGACTCAAGTGAATCAGCCAACTGACGAAGAGTTGATACTGCCCTTCTAAGAGCGATTTGCAATCTGGCCCCTCCGCTCATGCAAGTAGGCAGCAAGCCTAGAGTTGAACAGATCAGGTGATCGCGAGGCAGCAGGAGATGGAGAAGAGGAAAAGGGATGAAGCAGGTAGATGGCAATTCCAATGATGGTCAGGGCCCCAAGTCCAAAGCCAGAAAGGAATACAGCCAGCAAGAGAGGGATCGAAGCTGTGCAGTGAGCTGGGCACCAGATCCCGAACCAGGACGATCCTGACCCTAACAAAAGAAGCCGTCCAGCTTCTGATATCCAGGGGTGCATTGCTTGAGCATTCCGCACCACGTAAATCAAAGTTACAAATCACCTATCCATCCATGTCTATATCTATGTCTCTATCTATGTAACTATCTATGCCTATATCTATGTCTCTTTCTATGTATCTATCTATGTATCCATCTTTGTATCTATTTATGTATCTTTCTGTGTATCTATGTTTGTATCTATGTATGTATGTCTGTATGTATTTCTGTATGTAATCATGTCTGTGTATGTATGTCTGCCTGTCTGTCTGTCTATGTCTATGTCTATGTCTGTCTGTCTATGTCTATGTCTGTCGGTATGTATGTATGTATGTATCTATCTATCTATCTATCTATGTATCTATGTATCTATGTATCTATGTATGTATGTATCTATGTACCTATGTATCTATGTATCCATGTATCTATGTGTCTATGTATCTATGTATCTATGTATCTATCTATGTATCTATCTATGTATCTATCTATGTATCTATGTATGTATCTATGTATGTATCTATGTATGTATCTATGTATGTATCTATGTATGTATCTATGTATGTATCTATGTATGTATCTATGTGCGTATCTATGTGCGTACGTACGTACGAACGTATGTATGTATGTTGCATATGTATATATATATATATGTGTGTAAATGTATATAGAGCTACAATTATATGTGCATATGATTGCATGTGTATTAAATATATATGTGCAAATGATATGCATAAAAGCGGAACTCGGGGCGTCTGTGATATATCTAGTGTACTTTTTTACAAGACCCATACTCAAGTACAGCAACTGCAACTTGCAAGTTTAATATTTTTGGTGTTTGACTGCGCAATTGCTGGGCCTTGCTATCTTCACAGTCGCTTGGGGCCTGGCACGATCACAGGCCAAATCAATGTGTGCAAACATATCTTCTGTTCCTTTACGGTCAGGGACCCGAAAGCACCGGTTTCAGCACCAAAAACCAAGCGCATCGGGATCACTACTGCAATTGATTACTGTTTTGAACTTGCTGTTAGAGAATTGTTGGGGCTGATGAGTCACATTTAGAATCTCCAGCACCCGACATAACATTCGTTCATTCCATACATATGTATATATATATATAAGAAAAGCGAAACGATATGCCGCTTATACCTACTAACTAACATGCTCTTTTTCATCAGCCCTCATTTGTCCATCTTTCTTGCTGCACCCTATAAACCTCTCCGATGTGAGCTTTCTCAGACGTGAGCGTGTCAGACGTGCAAGATGTGCCATCTGCAACAAGACACCTAAAAAAACTAAGAAAAAGTGTGTGTTTGTCAAGCAATACCCATAAGTATGAGCTATCTTCATAGCATGCACTAGTGGAACTTTTACGATGTGAGATCTGTTTATATCGATAATATTGATTAATATGATACAATATAAGTTTCTTAATATTTCTTGCAACAGACTCAAATGCTGCAACCGCAGCTCGCAGATGTACATTTCGGTTCAAGTGTCTGCATGCCCAATTTCTGCGCCTCCGGTTCTTCTTCACTCTCGCTCATAGGCAACCTGGGACGTCAATCAAGCACTGTTCATCGAGCTGAACGTTCAAAACTGGAAGCGCGAAAGAGACTCAGTGCAAAATGTCTGGCCTAGCTATCAGCTTGCCGGCCCGAATCGGTGCACGATTGTCCATACTGTCAACCTCCAGAAAAATCCCAAGGTTCCGAAAGTATTCAGAAAAATTATTAACTGCACTAACTGAGATTGGGTTTCAGGTTTGACCGTGTGGATATAAGAAAGCGCCCTGTACAGTGGCTCACTCTCTACGATACCATTATTTGAATCTTTATAGGGTTGTGCTGGAAACAGGTCAGCTCGCTGAAATGTGAAAGACACCTGGGACTCTCGTGCCCAAACTGGCTCATAACGCCAATGATCGAAAGAGACTAAACTGAGCCACGCCGGAACATTACTCTAGAAACATGACAATGATGCAGTGCACAATACAATGTCAGCAAATAAGGAGGAAATCATTCTGGGTAAGACGTGGTGACACAAATTCGTGCACATGGTACTGCAAATGGCCTCGGCAATGCCACCATCACGGTCGGCATCGCTAGCTTCAGCAACCTCTTCAGACTCGCCGTCTGAATGCCATCTCCAAATTTTTGAACCTCGCCTGAACAGGGCATAATAGGCATAGAGATTGTAGTTATGCTGCATGGGCCAGCTGGACTGATGGCAGATTTCCAATTTCCTTCTTCCGCCATGCTTCTTGCGCTCTGATTTACACGATGCTGCTAGCTTCAAGGCTAGGTCCTTGGTGGAAACCATGTCACAGGACGTGAAGCACATTGGGCTGGATGGAGAGCCCCGAATAGCTGGCTGCAACGAAAAACTACGGTATGAAGTCCAGCTCCAAGTGAAAGCAAGGGTTCAAAGGAAATTAAATTATAGGATGCTTGGAGTTGCTGCATGCACTGGAGGATTGGGTTCCACACTCTTTCCTGAAGCATTGGTCCAGGCGTTGACCTCCTTGGATTTCAAAATTGAAAACGACAGTCCCAACACAATGATTTCAACTTTTAAACCTCGTTGAGACAAGAAATCTCAGAAGCTGGGAGTCTGACGGAGGCACATAGGCCTCAAAGAAGGGAAGCTGCCAGCTTTCCCATCCATTGTCCAGCTGCTCAGCAACTTCTTGTGCCAGCCGCTGGAGAAAACAAAGTTGGACCGCAGGAAGAAAATGCCTCAAGCGAACGCTGGAAAAAGCAGAAACTGTTTCAAGCAAATCTTGGCTGATGATGCTTTCAGACAAAATTCCCCAACAAACACTGCACAAACGAAAAAAACAGCAGCCAAGATGCATCCACGCTTCCTGCCGGCCATGTACCCAGCGCGCATGTGGGCCGCAATCACTCGCGACCCGCAGCATGATGAGTGTGTGAAGTTTCGATGATTTGATGGACCGCTGATTCACCACTGGAATTGACCAAACCACAACATGCACACCGGTCCTGACTAGGTCTGGAAATTATTCAAGCCGAAAAACTTAGACAGCATGTAAAGCATGTCCTGAATTTACAAGTGGAGAAAAAACATGATGGTTTGCAAAGTCCTGAAGCTGCGAATATGCTTTCAGGCGCACAGAGCCCGCTGCAGAAGAACATTGATGTTCTGAAAAATGAAGTGTATGAGTGTAGCATGAGTGATTTGCATTTCCTTGCCAAAACCGGCTGGAGACACTTTCCATCTTCCATGTGATTGGTAGTGATTTCTAGGTATTTTGCCACAACATCATTCTGAAATGGTTGTGGTTTCATTTTGTTTGATGGCTATACTACTCCCTAAACCAGACTGGTCAGACGACCATTTCTGATTGCAACAGCAGGCTAGACCATGCCAACCCATGATAGAATTGGTATGTGTTTGGTAGATATCTGAATAGCCAGGTGGCTTCATGAACCAATTCACAAGAATACGATGGATTTGTGGACAATGCCACAGCCAGAAAGGACCCCTTGGGCAAGAAACAAACCCACGGATAGTTGATTTAGTCTTGGGAAAGTTAAAGAAATTGTCGTACAATTTGTTTCCACAAAAGAATTCAAACAATTCACACCATTCCACCAAGTTCCAACAGTTGCAGAGAATCGCACACCACTCTACCCGTAACCCAGCAGGCAGTAAGTCAGCATAGCCACTTGAAGCCACAGATTCCCAACAGGAGAATCGGCCCAGAGGCGCCCATACTGTTCCAGATCCTGGCAGAAAATGTGGACGGTTTAACGCCAACAAAAGCAGCATCTCTGGATCCCGCGGTTTGTCAAGAATTGTTGTATGGTGCGACGTTTTGACCAGCGCTCAATTCTCAGTAACGGCAACCCCAAAAAATGGATGACTATGTAAAATCCTACTAAAATATTGGTATACATATGTAAATTGTAAATATCTTTCCTGTCTTTTACCATGCGCACACAAAATCTGACCCATAGTCGCTTTGGCATCCAACGATCCATTTTACACGTTTTGGCACGGCCATATGGGCCTTGATCCTTCTCGGCCTGCCTGCTTTCACAGTCCATGGCGAAGCATATACATTTGAAATCCGCAACCTTCGAGTTTCCTACTCCCAGGTTGCGAGTCAACATACAAACATACATGCGAAAGTTCTGATACATGGTCCAGGTTGCAAGCTGGGGCAGTCAAGCTCTACTCGAGTCATCCCCTGACTCTTCCGCCATAGGCACCAAGTCATTCTGAAAATCACTTTTGACTGGCTCCAACGGCGCAGAGTCAGGGAAGGCTCACAAAGGAGCCCTGTTGCAGGTGAAACTATGAACAGGGCCTTAAATAGGAACTCATCACGGGCCTCTCAGCAAACATTTCCCGCAATGCCATGCATGCGCAAGCGAACGGCATCGTTCAATCCTGCCATCACAGCACAAGAAAACCGTTGTTCCAGAGGCACGAATTCCTGTAGCCATCTGTAGCCCACAAGACAATGTCTTGAAACATCTCACACCTGAAAACATTGAACTTGAAACTAACTAAGATGACCCTGCTGTTTTGCCAGAAATAAACAGCAAGTCAAGTGGCATCGACAGCAAAACTGCCGGTGCCAGAAAACACTCGCATAGCAGGTCCTTCGCGCAACTCTTTAACTAGGTGATGAAGCGTGACTGCCTCAGTTTCGATGCAATTCGGAAATGTCAAGCAACAAATGGGGTCAACCAATGAAACACGGCGAGTGTCACCAACAGCACTACGAATTGGTAGTGTGACCCAAGAACGTCGGAACCCGTCATGTTTGTGAAACTTGCGGTCTTTGCAATCACCGGAGGGTCATGCTGAAAAAGATTGAAACATGCTGCAAACATTTCAAAACACATAGAAATGTGTAGCAACATTCGAAGAGCAAACTGATGGTCTACCAAAGGCTGCCGAGGAACCCTCTCCTGCATCGCGGACTCCATATTTTCCTTGGAAGCGTCCAGCAATCAATCCGTCTGATCAAAGGTGACTCACGAAAGCAGACACACCAAAAATGCCAAAACCACCAGGTGGAGCTTTTGGTCCTCAGAATTCATTCTCTCCTCGCAACCTTTGTGCTGAGCCCACGACATCGCTAACTTCATTCCCGCTGTCTGGAGGTGGCAGCACCAGTGGATTCTGCCGAGAGAGTCACAATGATCCCAGCAGACATCCCCAAGTCATCCTAAACCCAAGGTTGCCTAAGCCCTGGAGATGGGTTGAAATCAGGCTCCCAGAAGTGAACGCAATGTGAAAACGTTACTTCTTGAAAATGGATAAAAACTGACGGTTCCAAGATGACTCCCAACGTGTCATGTACACCTTCAAGCGATTCCTCTTCCTGTTGCTACTGCGCTCGCACATAATTTGTTTGCTCGAGAGGACGAAGCTAGAGAAGCCCCACGGTTTGCCTGTAAATTCTGTCTCTGATATCTAGGTCCGCGTTACATCATGCAGCTGCAATCACAAATCTATGAAAAGTTTGGCAATCATCTACCTTGATCAAATTTGGCCACTTTTTTGGCTACAGAACCCAGTTGCTCTGTGCCTCGATTAGGTCCCGAATATATGCTCCGTCTGCTGCCAGCTCCTGCAGGCACACTAAGTTTTGAAAACAGAATGCCATTTGCAACCTCAAAGGAACTACTTCTCCAAGCCTTGACAGATGTCCATTCAAAATATTCAAACTGTGGGCGCCTCGTCGCGATCGTAGTCTTGAGCAGGGCATGCTGGCATCGAACAGCGGCGGCTGCAACGTGGCTCCTGTGCCGTGCTAACATTCCAAAGATCCCCATTGGGCAACTCTGCATAAACCCTTTCCGCCACAAACTTTGTGAGAGTTGACAACTACAAGAACTCACGAAATAAGCAAGCTGAATAAGCGCATCCTCCACAACTTCACAAAGTGAAGTCTCCAACAACTTTGATGCCAACATGCCGCCCTGCATCGAACAAAAACTCAGAGCTGCATGACCAAGACAAGCTGCAAGAGCCCCTCTTGAACCATGCCCTCACTTCCATAACATAAACCAAAATGAACCCCTGCTCAGTTTCCCCGACAAGGGTTCTGTTGCAAAGCCACCGAGGCTCAAAATCAGAAGGACTTGCAAAAGTTAAAAGGATTTGCGAAAACAACTATTTGACATTATCTGACTATCGATAACATTCTACGACCTCCATGAGGAGCGCAAAACGTGTGGGTGAACACTCTTCCTACATCGAACAGCATCCCATTGGAAACCAAATCATTGCTGCGTCAGTTTCTGCTGCCATGGCCGGGGCCGGAAAGAATCAACCAAGCGCTTATTCAAAGATTCTGGACATTTCTGGACATTCATCATTGCCAGAAGTGACTCTGGTTCGTCATCACCTTAAAAACAAACGATCACAAGGACCGGCCACTCCCCGAAGCATCACTGGAGCCTGAATCACCTCGATGTGCCGAGACATCATTTTGACTTTGACATTCAGTTGGTCCACCTCCTCCAGCCGGTAATGGAGTGCCTGCAGGCGCCATACACGGCCATACCGGCACGGTACCACGACATGAATCACAATGAAAAGCAGTTGTCTCTAAATTAGAAACCTTGAGAATCCTATGATATCTCATCAACTTCCTCTTAAGTTGCACTATTTTGGTACAGTTCCTCCTTTGTTCAGCTCGCAGCCCCGAGTTTGTCGGTCTAAGACAGAATGACCCAGTTCTCAGGGGGGACACTGCTGTAATGTTACCATAGCGGCACCAGGGGGTTAACCATCAAAATTCAAGACCTTCGCAACTTTGCTAACCATCAAAACTTCAGCCATGATCCCAACGAGACCATAAAACTTCAGGAAGCCTTATGCAACCATGTCAGGACGGGGCTCAGTATACTGCAGAAAACATGCAAAGGGATATGATACAAGCGTTGATTGAGGCTGTGCGGCGTGTTGTGGTCCCTTGACCGAAACAAATCGAAGGACTCAAAAAACCACATGACCTTCCAACTCCGCTCACCTGGTCCATCTCTTTGAGCAGCTCGACGTCTTGAGCATGTTGTTTCTGCAAGCCCTCGGCACGCTGATCCAATGGCTGGTCACACCCAATGGCTGGTCCTCGAGGATGAAGATTTGAACAAAATATTTCAAAATTTGTTGCATTTGGGATGAAACCTTTTGACACTGCCCAAATCTACGCGCCTGGGAGTTCTAAATATTGGGTCACAGGCCACAGCCCATAGCGCAGCTCTTAACCATGTTTGGGAAATGAAAACATGCACTGAACATGTCTGAGACTTCTTTTCTTGGAAGAACATCTGGACTGGACAATTGGAAATAAAATCATCTATTGCCCGACACCAAGCGATCTTAAGAAAACAGAGATGTGCGCCCAGCCTGCGCCTCCTCGCGTAATTTCTTAAATGCCTCCTCCTTTCGGACACGCATGTTTGTGGGTCGTGCCAACTTCTCGCAAATCAAGAGACACAGAAACAAAAAGCAAGGCAACAGCGTCCCATCAAGCCCCAACTGCAGAAACTACACACTGCAACTTCCACGGAGCAAAAACAAAATTGAGCTACTAATAGAATCGAGATCCAATTCGAATGGCAAACACCACTGTGTTTTCACGCCACAAATTTTTCTGAAGGCAATTCTCATTTTGACACTTGTGACAATCTGCGAACATCTTTGAACAAAAGCACATTCTCCTCAATCATCGATCGCTTCTTATATGCTCGTAAGGTTTCGACTTTCCTTTCCAGGGATGAAATCTTTTTGAGAAACTTTGTCTTCTCTTCCTCGCCTAAGCCACAGGAAGAAATTCCATCCCCAGGACATGATCATCAGACCGCGCTGACCATGCGCATCAACCTTCGAGCAAAATATGAAATCCTGCCCAGAAACTGTGCTCGCGCAACGTTTTCAATGCCCAGAGCAAATCCTCACGAGCATTGCTGGAAGCCCACCTTTGACTTAGCATAATTCAAAAGACATGCGCTAGTGGGATATGAAAATCACGACGAGTCGATATGACAATGGAGACGACAGCACGACGACAATGTGCCGACGGCATGACGACTGCTGACGACGACATGACGACGATGCGACGACAGCGCGACGACCGTCACAAGCGTGGGTTTGACATGTCATAAGCTGGGGGTTGGACGCCGAACCCGAGCTTATGAAGGTCGTCGCTCCGTCGTCGCACCGTCAAGGCCTCGACGACGACATATGCCGTCGTCATGCCGTCGGTCTATCGCCGTCGTGACGTCGGCACATCGTTGACATAGCTACTCCGTCGTCATAGGGCCCGAACTACCGTCAAAAGCCTCCCATCGTGGAGTTCCTGCTTTCTATAGAAAACCTGGTTTGTATGTTGTGTAGAATTTAGCTAATTTTTGACTTTCCCTAAACTCGGATGCTTGGAGTCTTGGAGGCAAAAAAACATTTTGAGCACAAAGAATTCCATTACAATGCTATTTTGGGCCTTTTGTTGGATTCTAGAGTGACACTATGTGTGACATTTTGTACCAAGTTTGGCGCAAAATGCGCAGGAACACAACCTTTAAATTGGTCCAGTCTAGTGCCTCCTACAAGAGTCCCCAGCAAGTCTCACCCCCAAAAGATCGTCTTGCACCCTCGAATAGTGAAACCTAAAGGGGGCCCTGCCAAAAATAGATGTGGTTGCAACCACCCATCACTGCAGGTGACATGGAGTTGATTGGGATTGCAATCCCATTCATAAAGACAAAGATGACAAAGGGGCCATCAGTCCCCACTGTTCTTCCTAAATTCTCATGTTCGTTGGTGAAATGGTCAATACAATTCCTGCGGAATGCATGACAAAATGATATTTCGACCAAAAGACATCGTTTTTTGCTCAAACTAATCTTAAAGAGGATCTCTCCTTGGCATTTTTCCAAAGTGCTCAGCTGTGTTCTTCATGATAGCCAAGGAGTTGATTGGGATTGGTGAAATCCACAGGTTTGAGGGATACACGGCATATCTGCTTGGCTACAAATCGTTTTGGTTCCCTCCCTGCCCTCCCCAAGCCTGGGTCGTGAGGCATGACACATTGCCCCAGCTGCCAGATACCTGGAAGTCATCCCCTCCAACTTGCACAATGATGGAAATTCAATAGTAATTAGTAATACACAAAGGATCATAAAGGACATGTTTATATATACATATATTGATGTTGATCGAAGGAAGTTTAGAAGTTAAACTTCCGACAATATGGGCAGATCAAAAGCAGAGCAGGGCAGAGGCAGAGATAAGAGAAAGATTAGGAGAGAGAAGACCAGAGAAGAGAAAGAGTCAGAAGAAAGAAGATGCAGATGCGCGAAAAGGTAGGAAAGTCGCGCAACACTTGTGTTTTTCCAATGATCTGGGGCTCCGGAGGGTCGAAAAGTAGGCTCGCTAAAGCGGCGGGCGCGGAGCCAGCTGGCCAGATGAGAGATGAAAAGTTGCACGCCGTTGTGGCGCGAAGCACATTTGGAAGTCAAAATGTTAAAAACACCAGGGGTTCGGACCGCTTTTGGAAGTTGCGATGTCGAAAAAGTGCACGCCGTTGTGGCGCGAAGCACATTTCGAAGTGAAAATGTACAAAACACACCATTCTCGGACCACTTTTGGAAGTTGAGATGTCGAAAAAGTGCACGCCGTTGTGGCGCGAAGCACATTTTGAAGTCAAAATGTATAACTCATGGGCAAACATCACCGGCTTTGAACAGGTGTTTCTTCTCCTAGTGTACAAGGATGTAGAACGCTATAAGATGGCATGAGCATGGACAAATCGTAAGGTCCCATTTTGAAACCAGGCAGCCGGCATCCCCTCCATCAAAAACGGTCGGACGAACCGTGAGTTGCTACCATTGAGGTTCAGCAAATCAAAAAGAATTTGCCCCTGGTTTGCTGATAAATCCCCCTGTGGTAGATGGTCTGCCTACTGAAAAAAGGTCTGCCTAGTGCAAAAACGTGCTGAATTTCCCATTGCCACTGTTGATTACAAGAGTGTATTCATGAGTTGTCTAAAAATGGACGCCAAAATCCAGCGCATGGCTCGCATGATCATCCTTTCCCCCAACAGGTTCGACCCCAGTCCGCCTTGTCCGTGACCAAGTCTGCCATCGCAGCACGAGCAGCAGTCGATTGCTCCTGGCACGATGTTGATATGATGGCTATCTGAAACTATCTAGGGGGATAGATAGTGATCATGATATCCCCCTATGTTTTTATGAGGAATATCATAGGAATCATAGGGGGATATCATGATCACTATCTATCCCCCTCATAGAAATCAACCCATTTTCCTACCAAGGGTTGCCAAGTTCAGGATTGCTTTGCTAGGTGCAACTTGGGGTGAGAACTACGGTTCTAAAATGACTACGAATGAGGTCTGCGTCACAGTGTGTTTGGGTAACGTCTGGCAACATGTACAAAAGATCCATGTGCCAAACTGGTTTCCAACGGTTTCAGACTGGTTTCGGCTGGTTTCCCATCATCTTTTCTGGGGTCTCTGCTTCAAGCACCGTGAATCTTGGGTGATCTTTGGAGGAATATGTGATGAGGGGCCACCAGTTTTGGACGTGTTGATTTGTTCACATTTTGAATCTACGGGTCTTGCGGATCCTGACAAGCAAACTTCAGAAAGTCTTGGGTTTGAGCTGCCAGCCCATTAAAGTTGTCATATCCAAAACAAGTCACTTCCAAATCTCTGGAGAGAGCCATGGGTCAGATTTCAGCAGGATGAGCCATGGGTCTCTGCCATCCCCCCAAATGTCCTGCAGATCTTTGACCTTGGTCTGGGAACCGTCAGCTTCCGCGGCCAGGTCTGCAAGGCTCTGACAGTTTCGCGCCTGGATCAACATGTGCCCTTGACACCCACTATACCCACTGTTTCTATCTGTTTGTTTATCTGTTGTTTATCTGTTGTTTATCTGTTTTTTATCTGTTTGTATCTGTGTCTTATCTGTTTTTATCTGTTGTTATTTGTTTAATATGGTTTTATCTGTTTTTTCTGTCGTTTATCTGTTTGTTTATCTGTTTCTTGGGTTACCCTTGATGACATCTGACCATCGAAATGTACCCCTTGACCCACGTGTTGTTGGGTGCCTTTGGGGAGCATTTTTTGATGCCTGCCAACATAAGCTTTCCAGCCTTCCATTTTTCTTGGGCCGACACAGGCCTGGGTGTCCCCCCAAAATTGCGACCCCAATGGGGGGCGCCTCAACTTCCGCGAGCCGCTTCTCGCAAGCCAGGAACCATCTCAGTTTAAGATCCTGGTGGCTCAAGTTCATGTCAACTCTAGTATTTAACATGATTTAAGCATCCACTTTTTTCACGCCCATAAGCCCGAGCCAGTACCAAATCTCATGGAACCATTGTATCCATCTTTTTGTAGCTGCCCTGACCTCCACATCCAAAGGTGAGGATGGCTGGGCCCTTATTATAAGGGGGCTATCGATGGATCCAGAAACTTGGTCTTGATCCATACCACCATATTTCCCCAACGAGGTCCATAATCCGTTTTCCCCAACAGAATTTGAATGAGCGCATACCGTGCACCATCTTGTGCAGCAATTTAGCTGCTGCAAAACGCTAGGGTTTTCTGAAGCCTGGTCGTCTTCTTTAGCCAACGCTTGCTGAAGGTCTTGCACCACAGCCTCGCTAAGTTCCTGCGGTGGATGAACATTTCTAAATCGAGAGAAAAAATAACATCAAACAATAAGAAGAGAGAGAATCCACAACACTTCACACATTGTTGATATCAAAAGGCAAGCTAACTTAAATTCACCATTAAGTCCCATTCAAGGATGCACCTTCGTTTGGGTGTGTACGTTTTTTTCTTGTGCCCAAAATGTCAATACTTGTCAATACCTCATGGATTCTCATCATTTTCCCATGAAATTGGGTGGGTGACCGGGTGACCCTCTTGTAATCAAACATTACCATGTCAAAATCTTCATTTATAGCTGATTTCTCCAAACCTCCATTGACTGCGAGTTGCCCCTGGGCCCCATGGCGGCGGCGGGGATGGTTGTTCAACAGGTGTGGTGAATCTACGACGGTGTCTGAAGAAGGTGAAATCCATGATGATCTCTTCCCAGATTTGCCAATTGTTGTGTTTCCTCTTTGGGTTGAATCTGTTGCGGTCTGAGGTAACTCCAATGGATTTGAAAAATATGATGTCCCATGAAAATTGCTGATGAGGGCGTCCCAATGGATGGAAGCCGTTGCCACACTTGAAAGCACCAACCAGTTGTGGCACTGCAGTCCGTTTGTCGACTGCAAAGAACCCCGATTTTTTAATGGAGATTTGAAACGACCAAAGAGCTGTTGGCTCATGGCTGTTTGGTGATTTCCCAGGTTTTGCTGATGATATCATGACATCGCCATCTTTTTATGAGCATTTGCAACCATCCACCAGAGCTGAATGATCATCAAAGGTGCCTGCGAAAACTCTTGTTGGGTCTACAGTATCCAAATAGGATTGTCGCAATCCCCTTCATAAACCTCCAAGTGGGGATGTCTATAGCGTCTATCACCCATTTCTGGTAAATTTGGAGATGGTCTATTGTCGATTTACAAGAATTAAGAGGACCCCCAAAACTGGGCAATCAAAGGGTGGGAAAATCGGCATCCGCAATGTTTGGAAAAGTCCGCTGCGGCCTCAACTTCGACAAGCTGGCCCTGCAATTTTGGAACCTGCACCCAGGTACCCAGGTCAAGCGTGTTTTCATGCTGGCCTTCCCCCTACTTCTTGCAGATACATTCCCCGATTAAAGCCAAAAAAATAGATGGATTTTTTCAAATTTCAAAGAACTGTCTGTCTGTCCGTCCGTCTGTCCGTCCATCGGTCGGTCGGTCGGTCTGTCTGTCTGTCTGTCTGTGTGTGTGTGTGAAAACCGTTACCAGTAGTCCCGCACAAGGCGGTGGCGGAAGTTTCAAAAAATAAGAAACCTATAGGAGAGGTTGGTTGTTGTGAATCAGGGATGGCAAAGCGAATCCACTGATGGATCGAAAGGTGATTGATGTCTCCTCTCTTTCTCTCTCTTTCTCTGACTATCTACTTACCTACCTACTTATCTATCTTCTATGTATCTATCTATCTATCTATCTACCTATCTATCTATCTATCGATCTATCTATCTCTCTCTCTCTTTCATCTGTCTATCTGTCTATCTGTCTATCTGTCTAGCTGTCTACCTGTCTATCTATCTATCTATCTATCTATCTATCTATCTATCTATCACTTACTTTTGATCCGCTCAAGGGCCCTGCGAGTATGTCACATGTATGCACAGCTCTATCGATCAGAGGCTACAAACCTTGGTGACCTGACTGCTGATGAATTTCACTCCGGTCGTCTTTTGGAGTGTCGCCCTGTACAGCTATCCTAAGCAGTCTTCGCACCGTCTGTACTCCACCTTTGGCCTTGGATCCCTGCCGTGTAGCAGGTGGTTGCATTTGGCTTCGTGGTAGCATGAACCTGCCTTTGTAACATAGATTTTGGGCGGAGCTTTGGTTTCACCTAGCTGTGCCCTCAATCTTTGAATTTCCTGACCGTGTTGGTCAGCTATCTCTCTCAGGCGCCTCTTCTCAGCTTCCAGCTGCTCGATTCGCTTCGTGAAGTTCTCTCTCTCCACGTCCACCATCGGCGCAGCAGCCGGCGCAGCAGCAGCATTAGCCCCGAAAAGCGCCTGCCCATCGCGGTTCTTCTTCTTCTCCTCCTTGAGTTGCTCTCGCAATTGGCTGATTGCACGTGTTGAGGAGGCAATCACACCTTCCTTCATGCGGTTCTCACCTTTGACTTCCTCGATCGTCTTCTGCAGCTGCTCGTTGTCTGCAGTGACCTTTGCGATGTTTTCCTCGAGGATGTCCAGCTGATTCTCGAGGGATTCAATCTTCTCCTGATTCTCTTCCTTGGCTATTTTCTGGTTTTCTCGATCGCCGCTGACTCGCTCGGCGAAGTCCTTCCAGCTTGTTGCTTCTCTGGTCTTTTCGTCAAGCTGCTCCTGCATGTTGTTGAGCGCATTCTCTCTGACTTGAATCACAATCTTCAGGTCGTCGCGCTCCTCCTTCTCAATGCGCAGCCTCTTCCGAAGTTGACGAACTTCATCATCTGTTGATTCGTCCATCATTGTCAGATTTGACTGATCCACGTCCATAGGCGTTCCAGTCGCCTCATCACGTGTTGGCCCACGTCTGCGTCTCCTGCTCTGTGGAGGCGGTGAAATCTTTCTCCAAATGTAGGTGATCATCTTCTCCAAGTTGATCGCGAGGACCACCGTGACAAAGATCATGAGATAGACGCCAGCGTAGGTGGTGTCGTCGGTCGCGGTGTCGTTCTTGTCCATGTCCATCGCTGCAGCTGAATGCAACATAGTAGCGGCCAGAGCTGCTCGTGTCATAGTGCTCTTGTGTGCAACCAGTCCAAGCAACATAGTAGAGTGGCAGATCTTGATGTCCTTCTCCTTGGTCATGTCGATGATCTCTTGATCTGTTTTGACGATGTCGTGCTCGTCATAGTTGCTCAGTGCCGGTAACACTCTTGCCGTCACCGGGTGATCTTCTTGGTTTTCAAACTCAACCATACCAGTCGTGAGGGGGTAGAGCATGCTGTAGTGGATCATGGGCTTGGTCAAGGAGTCCGATGTCATACATCCAGTGGGCACCAGGACCATCATTCGCATTCTGCCTGCAATGCGACTCTCCTTGATGCTGAGGATGTAGAGTCGTTGGCCTTTATCTTGTGGTAATGTTCTCGCTCCAGTGACCAACTCAAAGACGTCCTTGCAGTCGCCATAGAAGTCCATGGGCAATTCTGGGTATCCACTTTCCTGGATGCCAATGAGCTGACGAATGCTCAGTGCTTTCTCCTTGTGCATGATCTCCGCCATTCTGACCATGATGAGTGTGGTGGTTTCCATGCCCCCAACCATTGACAATGTTTCAGCATGTGATGTTGAGTAACTCACACGCTTGGCCTTGCCACCGCTGGAGTGCAAGATGTGGAACACTCCTCCATGAAGTTGAGCTCCACAAGGTCCAGCATCGTCGAAGACCATCTCCGTGTCCATGACCTTGTCGTGGAAGTAGTCGTCAGCCAATCCTACAAGAACTCCTTCTTGTGCATAGTTTCTGCCCTTCGATGACAATCTCTGATGGGATGTTTTGAAGCTTCTGTAGTAGAGGCCGACATCCTTGAACTCAATCACCTTCTCAAGAACTTGATTCGCCATCTTCAGAGCCTTCACTTCTGAGACCGTCACTCGGCTCTGCAGCAAGGAGATGTCCGCAATCAGGTCCAGTCTCGTTGCAGTAAGCCACAAAAGTGCGCCCAGAATCGATCTGAATTGTGACTGCTCTTCCCTGGTCAATCGAGAGCTGTCTTCTCTGTTTGGAACTGGGGCTGGTTTGACCTTTTCTGCAAACTCTTCTTGACAGATCTTGTACCCGTCCTTGATCTTCAGGTACTCACAGCCGCAGTGTGAAAATGGAAGCTGTTGTCTTGTCACCTTGCCGAATCGCTTGGTGAAGGCAGTGTTGGTGTTGTCAATCCATTTGATTGGCGCAGAGATGGCTATGTCGTCCACATGAGTGGTTGCCATTGCAATGCATGTTCCATTCTCCTTCCATGTGAAGGTGTTCTCATCCAGATGGGACTTTTGTCCTCCGCTGTCCTTGATGTGGTTGTGCAAGCAAAGCTGCCATGCCAGTGGAGCGTCATTCAGCCCGTAGATCGGCTTGATCGCCATGAGGGCATACTCATGCAGCTGGTGCTCTGGTATGTGGAACTTGTCGGACAGCTCGGCCAAATGCCTGAAGACATTCATTGGAGGGATGATGATGACAATGCGGTGTGGTGAATCAATGCCCATCTTCCGCAGTGCATCTCTGATCTGCTCGAAGTTGAAGCCCTTCAGGAAGGCACCAGAGATGTCGATGCTCTCCAATGTTCTGTCTGGGTCACTTGCAGCATGACTCACAAGGATCCTCTGGCTCAATCTTGTCGCCGTCGTGGAACGTGTTGTGAGCTCACCCTTCTGCTGGTCCAAGAAACCTCTTGCACAAAGACGGGACTTCACCCGCAAACTGCGGTCAGGGTGACGTTTCCACTTCCGGATCCATCGTGCATCCACAACTGTCATTTCTGCAGTGATCTGGTTCTTGTGGATCTTCTTGAATGCACCTTCATTGACAAATTGAGCGATCTCCGCTCTGTCGGCTGCATCTACTTGATCCCATAGTTCAGCAGTGATGGAGTCCTCCTCGATGTTCTTGGTCTCGTCGTCAACCTTGTAGATCTTGGCCGTGCGCAAGCAGGCAATCGCCGCAGCATCTTGCTTGTACTCGATGTTGAAGAGGACAGGCAGTGCAGCGCGTTCTCGTTCTCGATGTTGTAGAAGGAAGCTTCTGGTGGCTGCTGTCATAAGGTCGTAGCCCAATTTCCAGTCTTCTGGGAAGTCCACCAGGATCTGCTTGTTGCGCGACTCTTCAATGTAGAACATCCTGAGGAACTCAAGGTCTCGTCTGACCATCATCACTCGTTGTTTCTTGCGTTCTGGGGCCAAGACAACTGTTCTGGTTTCTGGTCCTTCACGCTTCTTGCTGATGGGATCAACTTGCATTTCTTGTACATCATCTTTTGGAGGTTGAAGTGGAGAAGGTTTTGGTTCGTTCGGTTTTCCTGCTTGTTCTGCGCTTCTAGCTCTACTGGAGGAAACTGGTAGTAGAAGAAGTACAGGATGCACAAATCTTCTCGTGCCAAGCCACTGAACTTCTTGACCTGCAAATGGTTCGCATTCTTGCATTCCATGATGGAGTAATTTCTTCCTCCACGAAGCCAAGAAAGTAGTGTGCCAGTGGTGTTGGCTGGAGGCTTGAAGGTGCGCAGGCTCTTGCCCATCATGATGCCGTGCAGCTGGTCTTTTCTCAAAGTTCTAGAGATCTCTTCTGCCCAGTGCATGACCTTCTTGATGGGGTACTCGTCCTTGGGTACTTTGTACCATGCACCATTCTTCTTTTGCAGCCATCCATAGAGGTAGATCTTGTAGTCGGTGAGGCTTTCAACGTAGCGCATCAAGTGATGCATTGCTGTCTCCACCGACTCATTCTGCACCTCCACCATGAAGATACCTCGGAAAGGCCTGATGTGTCTCAAGGCCACGAGGTAGGGCTTCCCTTGGTACTGTATGACAGCCGTGCCTTCTTGCTCGTCCAAACGTAGAAGAAGAGCAGGACCACGCCAACCAGGATCTCCTTTGACTTCACGGCAGAACTCCACCTCTGATGTGCCATGTCATCTCGCCAAGCTTGAGCTGGTGTGGACGTGTTCTGCTTGCTCGAGCAATTCTGTCCTCAGCTATTGCTTGCTGTGTCTGAGCAAGAGCTGTCTGCCGGATTCTGATTGCTCGTTCAAAAGGAGTCACATCAGTCTGAACCGATCCAGCTGTGGTCATGACACCGTCGCTGTCGAGCTCGTAGAAGCCACGTGGAAGCATGCCGAAAACTGCCATAGAGGGTGTTGCACCACCATAGTTCAGCGTGATGTTGTGGGCCATGGCACTTTCTTGACATAGATCTTGTGGTTCATGTGTCAGCCCTTGTCTGGCAAGTTCGGCACGAAGCTTCAGCATGGTGAGCTTCAGCAGTTGTACATGTCGTTCTACCAGTCCAGTGCCTGTGTGTTGTTCAGCTCCTTGTCCTGCAGTGGTTCCTTTCGGAACTCTTGCCATTCCAAGTCGTTCAAACTCCACAGCTACTTCATGTCCCATGAGACTGCATTGCTGGTCCATGATGATCTTGTGCGGCGGACCAAACATGTAGATCCAGGACTTGAGCAGGCAGGACAGCAGCTGATCGGCTTCTTGACCTTCCACAACGCTGCATGTCTTGAAGCGTGTAGCTTCATCCAACATCAAAAGAAACCATGTGCTGTCGAGGTTGAAGAGGTCAATCTGGATGGCCTCGTTGAAGATGTGTGCACCACCAGTCCGTGTCTGTGGCCGGTTGGGCAATCTGATGTACTTTCTGCAAACGGCACATCCTGCAACTGCATCTCGTGCTTGTTCAAGTACTTCAGTTGGCATGCCAGCTCGCCGAAGAAGACTGACAAAGTCTGACACCGGCGTATGCCACAGTCTTTCATGTAGGCCAAGTAGAAGCTGTTTTGCCCGTGTGATGTCACCATTGGAGACCAGGCTTGGAAGCTTGTGCAAGACCCTTCTGATGTTGTAGTTGGGCTTGATGGGTCTGATGATGTCCAAGTCCTTCCGGTCTTGAGAGTCAAACTCCTCATAGGGTGCATCTTGGATGGCCTCTTGTTCTGCAGGATCTTCAGGACGTTCTCGTACTTGAGGAAGTAGAGCTGCATCATCTCGTCGTGGAGGTAGTTCAGGTTGAGGTGGAATGCTTCTTGGTCTGGAGGTCGGTGTGGATGGTGCAGGAACAGTTCCAAGATCTTGTCCATAGACTGTCACCATCCAATGCTCCACGTCCAAGTCAGCATGAATTTGGCTGTGGCTCATTTCTCGCAAATCCTCCATGTTCTGGATGGTCCACTCCTTGATGTTGCCGATGATGTGAAGTCGCAGGTAGGCCGTGGAAGTCACAACTTGAGGATCAGGTGGAGCTTTGTGAAATGGTCGCAAGCTGATCTTCACCGCCTTGACTTCCATGTGTTGATCAAAGACCTCCTTGAAGAGCGACATCATCACAGCATTGTTCACCCAGTGGTCGTAGTCAACCATCCTGTTGGAGGCTTCGTTGAAGAGACCCAGTGCGTTGTGCACGGTTTCCATGAGCATCTTCTTCAGCCAGTGTGATCTCTCCACCGTCAACTCAATGTTGCTGTGGTTCTTGATGATGACCTGTTCCATGGTCTCCTTGTTGGTTGTGGTTTTCCACTTCTTCACTGGGTCACCCTTGGTCTCTGGATCAGTTCCAGATGCCCACTTGCCATGACGACATTGTCCAGGAACCATAGTGTGTTCAATTCCTTTTGGGCAAGCTCGACCAAGAGTGCAGCGCACACATTCATAGAAGTGCTGGGAGGAGAACCATGATAGTTCCATAGGCCATGCCTTGATGTGCAGCAACTTCTTCTGCTCCAAGAACCTGATGATGTCCATCCTCATACGTTGGCACATAGTCTTTGGGTAGACAGCTGACATAGAGGTTCTTGAGAGACCATTGGGAGCTTGTCCTTGAAGATGAGAATGTCGCTGTCCATTGTGCCCAGAGCATCGCAGCGCTGTCTTGCCAAACTTGAAGTTTGCTGAAAGACCAGTGGCCTTCTGAATCAGCCATCCACGTTCATCTCGTGCTTCATGCATGCACTGGTCAACTCGTTGTTTTGGTCGGTTACCAGGAATTTTCTCCAACCTCAGGGGAGACTCTGTGTCGTTCTTGGTCATGGCGCTTCCCCAAGGTTGCTCCAGTGAGTATCCTCGTTCATGAGCATCTTGATACTCGCAAGTCTTCTGAGTCCATTCCAGTGCTGGTTGATCACGAAGACGTTCAAGATGACGTAGTTCTGGATCCTTCGTGTTTGATGAGATTGACCATGGAGCACAGTCTGGAGAGCAATGGATCACTCCAGGGGCAAACTCATTCCTGGCCATGTTGAGGTAGCGCTGATGCCCATAGTTGTTGAGGTCCCAGCCATATCGTGCATCAATGGGTGGTCCAATCACAAGGCCAGCCAACAGCAGTGTCAAGGACAGTCTTCCTGATCCGCTGCAAATTTCCCAGAAGTGCCATTTGAGACCTCTGTTGCGAGCTCTTTGAAACCACTTTGGGAAGTTGGCAGGAGTGATTGGTCTGAAGCCAGACTTGCTGTAGAACTCTTCAGGGATCGCTCTGTACCTTTTCTCCATCTTGCCTCTGTCCATGTTCTCTGGGATCTGGTCTTCCTTGTAGCGCGGAAAACTTTCTTCCTCAGAGAGCCAAAATTGTGCTTCTTGCAGGTGAAACTTCTCGCAGGGCTTTTCCTCGTTGTGCGTGTCGTTGGAAAATTGTGGCTCCGGCAAAATGCCGCCATGTGAAACTTCTTGAGCGCTCATATCCTTGTTGTCGCTGTTGGGATTGAGAGTCTTGGGGAGCTCTGCATGCTCAGTCACTGAGCTCTCATCCTTTCCATCACCACTTTCTTCAACTTCATCACATAGTTGAACGTCATCACCCCGGTCGCCTTCTGTTTGTGCCGCCCGGGTAGACTCACCGAAGAAGCAGTGTGTCATCTTCTCACTCACATCGTTCCAGAGTCTCACAGACTCTTCAACCACCTTGGTGTAGAACGCAACAACTTCTTGACGCGTTCCATCAGGGAGCTTGGTCTTTGTGTTGGGCTCGTCCGTGGGGAGCAAGTAGTGGCCGGATTCGGTCAACAAGAGCCTGAAGAGCTTGAAGCGTTTGACTTCCTCGCCATCCTTCTCGGAGATGTAGTCGGTCGAAAGAAGACCATCGCCGTTCTGGAAGTAGTTGGTGAAGAGGATGCTGTTCATGCTGCGAAGTGCAGGATTTCCAACCAAAGCTGGACACAAACTGCCCTGTCCACCAAGAATCTCTCCAGTGTAAGAGATGGCATGTCCACTGGTTTGCAGTGGCACTGTCACTTGCCCAAGCGTCCTGTCAGAGGCTCCATTGATACCGCTCACTGGCGATGTCTTGTCAAACCTGATCTCATAGTTGTCCTCCTTGCCATAGGGGATCACACATGTCGCCAGCAAGTCACGTAAGGTCTCTGATCCAATCAAACCAGATGCTGCACCAGGGTCTATCAGCAAACCCCTCCGTTTCTCGCCTCTCACCACGAAGTACTCGTTGATGTCGTAGAAGCTTGAAGTAAAGCTGAAGGCAACAGAATGAGCCTTCTTCGAAGTTGTGCTGCATGCTCCATCTTCCTCGGTCTTGTCCGTGGAGGAGGTGTCGTGGTGCTTGTCCTGGTTGCTGGATCGTCCAAGCTTCAGCACTTCTTCTTGTTCCTCGGAAGATGTGTGGATGACGTACTCCTTGGCATTGTGCGACATCTGTCTTGTCTTGGTTGTTTCATCAGGGATGCCATCGGAGATGTTCAAGCCTTTTGAAGTCATCAACACAGGAACAGCAGAAGCATCGTCTGTAGATGAGGAAGCTGTGAACCAAGAGCCTTTTCCAAAGCGGTTGAAGCCCTTCTTGCCACCCTTGCTCTTGCCATAGCCTTTCTTGCCTTTGAAGTTGCCTTTGGAAAATGGTCTCCATGGCCATCCTTTTGATTTCGACTTTCCACCATAGCCTTTGCCCTTCCAGTACGAAGAGCTCTTGCCCTTGCCCTTGCTGGTCTTTCTGGTCAAAGGGCAATCCTTCACCATGTGCCATTTCGAGCCGCAGTTGAAGCAGCCCTCCTGGTTGTTGTTCTTGCCGCCCTTGCCATAGTACTCTCCAGCACCACTTGTGTCGTCCTTGGCCTGCTCCTCATTGGTCTTGGCATCTTGTCCACCTTGTTCCGCAGGTGGTTCATAGTTCCAGGCCTCTTCATCCTCATAGCATTCATGCCAGGGATCATCACCATAGTCTTCACCGTACCAACCTTCATCCTCGTAGTACGACCACCATGGTTCATCATCAGCGTCATACCAATCATCATAGTCGCCGTAGTAGACCTCATCGTCATAGTTCCAGGCATCTTCATAGAAGACTTCTGCATTCTCCATGTGGCGATTTGGACTCAACCTCAGTGCCAGTTGCCGTGCATCTTGGAAACGATTGTAATCACCACCAACCTGCAACTTGATGTCGTCTATGGTTTTGGTTGCCAAGCCAGATCCTCTGAAGAAGAGGTAGAAGCGACCCACGTTGTTGAGGGATAGTCCAGCCCTGTCGCTTGCTTCATCCAGCCTTGTCTCAAACTCCACAGAGTACTCAGCCAGGCTCATCTTTCCACGGCTGCAACTGAAGAATCTTTCCAATGCCTGTGTGGCAAGATCCTGATCCATCTGGCCGAAGGCGTTCTTGAGGGCATCCGTCAAGTACTGGACGCCCGAAGGGATGTGCTCCTGCAAGAGTGCCCCCGTAGTTGGATCTCTGACTTCATCCACCGCCAGCCTGCTGAGAGCTGCATCGCCCGTGTCGTAGGTTCCATCAGGACGCGGCACCTTCAGCGCCAAGGCTATCTTGCCAGCCTTGCCATAGAGCCGCCCAGCCAGTAGAGGACCAATGATCTCATCGTCCAAGTTGGTCACTCTGTACCACAGCCTCAACCTATCAAAGTAAAGACGAAGTGGATAGCTGGGATCTCCTGGAACCCATCCTGGCGGTATTTCCCTTCTGTACTCTTGAAGGGGAAGAGCACCAGAGCCTGTGGGTGGCTCCGTCATGGCTGCAACCAGCCAGCAGGAAGTCTGTCTCCTCGAAGGCAAATGATGTAGTGCTCTGCACGCAATGCTGAGGCCCGATCGTGAGGTCAAAGTCCAGGATGTAGTGCCAAGCGCCTGCAAGCCCGAGAACCAGGAACAGCGCCGTGATGTAGTGCAAGGAGCCCGACCGTCTGGTCAATGGCAAGGATGTAGAACCGGTGCAAGCCCGATGCCCAGGTGGTAGACAATGATGTAGTGCCAGCGCAAGCCCGAGGGTCAAGAGGTAGGCAAGGATGTGGTGCCAGCGCAGCCCGAGGGTCAGGTGGTAGGCAAGGATGTAGTGCCAGCGCAGCCCGAGGGTCAGGTGGTAGGCAAGGATGTAGTGCCAGCGGAAAGCCCGATCACCAGGATGTAGACGGCCAATCGCCGAGCCCGATGTCCAAGGCAAAGACAAGCAAGTAGCGCAGTGCCCGATCACAAAGGCAAAGTCCACGATGTAGTGCCACCAGGAAGTTGCCGTAGATGGTGCCCCGGATCGAAGATCTCGCGAAGCCCACCAGCCCCGCTCGCGAGGCAGGCCGCAATCGGCCAGCAGCCAGCAAGCGAGGTCCGAATGGCGGACCGGCAGCGAGCCCCGTAGGGCTCCGCTACCAAACTTACTTTTGATCCGCTCAAGGGCCCTGCGAGTATGTCACATGTATGCACAGCTCTATCGATCAGAGGCTACAAACCTTGGTGACCTGACTGCTGATGAATTTCACTCTATCTATCTATCTATCTCTCTCTCTCTCTCGCTTTCATTTGTTATTTACTCAAGTTCACTTCTTCACTTTTAACCCCGCGTCGCTACTACGCATTATTAAAAACTTAAAAAATTGTATCTATATGTAAACGCTCACATTTACATATCATATACACACATGTATGCACATCGACAAAAGAAGCAAACCACTGAGGAACATCCACTCAAACAGCTGATGAGGAAACTGCCGTCGCACTTTAAATTTATTTCCTTTTTTTGTCTTTCAGTAATTGGGGAGTCGGAGCACTTCGCTATTGCGTGGCGACACTTTTGCCTCTCACGCCCGGAGGGGGGTCGGGCGGGTGGGTCAACACCTACGGGTCGTGAGAGTTTCTCCCACCCACCCACCCTTGAAAGAAAAATAAACGAGGAAACAGTGAACATGTTTCACACAAGACATGCAACCACTCAAGGCAAGACAAACTGCATTGTCAAGGTTTCCTGTTTATTGTTTGTTTTCTTTTTTTTTCACCTTCTGCCACACAAAGGTTAAACGAAGTGCCACTCCTGGCCACGTACGCAAACGCGGAGCGCGTAGACAAGGACGCTGGGAGGAGGAGTGAAGAAGGAGGTGGGTTTCCACCAATGAACCGCGTAAATAAAGGCTCATCACTAAAGTGAGGCGCAACTTATTTAATTACTCAAGTTCACTTCTTCACTTTTAACTCCGCGTCGCTACTACGCATTATTAAAAACTTATAAAAACTGTATCTATATGTAAACGCTCACATTTCCATATCATATACACACATGTATGCACATCGACAAAAGAAGCAAACCTCTGAGGAACATCCACTCAAACAGCTGATGGGGAAACTGCCGTCGCACTTTAAATTTATTTCCTTTTTTTGTCTTTCAGTAATTGGGGAGTCGGAGCACTTCGCTATTGCGTGGCGACACTTTTGCCTCTCACGCCTTTCCCCCTTTTTACTTGATTGTGAGAGTTTCATAGACAGGCTGGCATCTGCGGAAACCTTTGGCAGTTAACTCATGGAAATCCATTCGGGATGGGCTATCACTCAGGTTTGACTTCGATGGTACTCGGCTGTACCAATTCAAGCTCTGGAGCTTAACATCTAAATTTGCATTGATGAGAAGCAGTTCGAAATTCTCGACAACGGGCGAAAAAGACCTGATCACTGCAGCCAGTGCCGAGTTGTTATCCACAAACCAGAGGACTGCACGACAAGAAAGCAGTGGTTCCCACGTAGTCTTTGCTACCAATATCGGAAAAATTTCAGCTTGACAAATCAGCTGTTTCTTCCCCTGTGCTCTCCAGCGCTCAACCCAGGACTCTGGGACTTGGTCCCCAAACATCAAAGAAGTTTCACTCTCTGGGTCGTAGAAGACTGCCCATGTGTCACGACCTTGCCATCCTCTTCACATGCGCCATCTGTGAAGACTATCACTGGCCAACGTGCTGACCATGCTTCCACTCTTCTGGGCTTAGCAGTGGAAAGGCTCGAAAAAGCCGCCCTCAACACGCTTTTGAAGTTGGCATCCATCACTACCATGGGCCCGCGTCTGGCAAGCCTAGACACCAGTTGAATTGTAAGTTGATTGCGCCTCCCAAAAGTATGCCCAGCTGCATATAGTAATCTGCCTTTCAGCGTCTCCAAGAGGGACATGGGAGCCATGTCTCTGGCGCACAAGTCTTCCACCAATTTTCCAATGTCGTTAATTCTGCTGTCCTTGTTGCGGACACTGACAACCCCTTCTGCCGTCCTTGTCAAGTCGACCACTGCACCTAACATGCTGAACTCCTGGGAGAATGGCAACCTTTTATCCTCCGACATGGATATCTCATCACCAACTCAGCTGTTTGCCATGAGGAGTTGCAAAGGGAATCTAGCTCAAGCTGACAGAAATCGTCGAAGAAGTTGGTGTTGACCAGCATGAAGATGGAGGAGAGGATCAGGCGCAACGCTCTTGCAATCCGGTTAAAAGCCATCACGGCACAAACAGATCCAGTAACGCAATTGACTCGAAAAACTCCACTTGTTGTCACTCGTCATTCCAAAATGCCAGGATTGACGCCCATGCGTCCTGTGGGTCTCTTGCTAGCTGCTTATAAGCAGCTTTCAAATCCAGCGCCCTGCCCTTGGGGCTGTACCAAGAAGTTGGCTTGGAAGTGTCATGTCGCCCCTCCTTCAACCAAGCGCCATTGTCGTGCGCTTCCAGGCAGTCACAACCCAGAAAGGTTCTGGCAGTATTAATGACTTCGTCTATGCCAAAGAGTTGAAGCTTCTCTGTTGAAGAAACTGAGGCGTTGACTAGAAACTCACTGAAGTCATCAACTGCCCTGATTTTCTGTCCTTGTTGCACGCCAAACCTTTTCGATGGAATCCAACACCTATTGTACTTGGCATCCAGCTGGGCTTCAGTGAAGGGGCCCTTCACCCATCCGTCAGAAAGTTGCTGTAAAGTTTCTTGGTAAACTGCATGTGCTATCTCTTTGTCGCTGGCCACCCTCCTGCATGACGTGTGTATCATCTTTCGTGACCACACTGCTGACTCCTTCAGCTGTTGTACAGAAATCTGAGCAGGCCGCGACTTGGCCGGAAACGTTCCAGATTCAGGCATTGCACCGGTAAGAGAGAAACCCTTGACCAGCTCATCAAACAAACCATCGTCACCGGTCGTCACCTACTTGCGCTTCGCTTGCCATCTCTTTGAAAAGTAAAAGGCGCTTGTCAGCCAACACTGTCCTGACGTCCTCATTCAGGGACGCTTTGAGTTCTGCTTCCTGGGCAGCAAGCTCTATAGTGCCCTCTGTGAAAACCTTTTGAGTTGCTTAACTCTGAACATGGCCACTTCTGCTGCAGAATGGTCACAAATGAACATTATTGCACGCAAATTGCAAGGGTCAACCAGTTGTGGACTGTCCAGGGGGTTCCACTTGTAAAGTCCTGGTGAAAAATTCCCAGGGTGATCTGAAAACTCCAAAAACTGACTTCTTGCACGGTCTCTTCTCGCCATCACTCCCCGTTTCAAAAGCGTCTCGAGAAGAGACCAGTTTAGCATCCACAGGAACTCCCTGAAAAGGAAAATGCACCTCAGGTCCAATTGACGCAGGGATTTGCGCATCAGAAGAAGCCACTTCGACCTTAAACTTGAACTCGCCTAGGAGCAGTGGGGCGCGTGCTCCACGTGGCTGTATGCCTGCGCCCATTTTTTGTAGTTGATCTTCGCATTGTTCAGGGGGTTGAGGTGCTTTGCCCTGTAGCTGCAACCTGTCAAGAAAGGCCATGGCAAGCTGTTTGCAAAGTTGCTGTGGATACTCCGTCTCAAGGCTTGTTGAAAACTTGAGACCACTGCCATCATGTGGGTCAACCATGCCCCATGGAAGGTGCGTATGTTGCTCATCGCACTGAGCTTGCAGGTTTTCCGCTTGAAAATTCATCAGAAAGGCTGTGCTCTTCCGTCTCCGGCTTCCGTACATACAAGCATGGATGTATTGGAACCTGCACGTCTCAGGCATCACAGAAAAAGGCTCGGTGAGCCACATCAATGATCTCCTTGGGTTCTCACAGATGAAGGGTATGCCCTTCTTGAGGCAGAGCATGATGACCTCTTTCGAAAAACGATAAAGCTTGTTTGCAGCTTCAACTTTGAGCTTTGCGACCCCCAGAGTTGCGGGCACTGGCTGCATCCCTTTGCGTCGCCTGTAACGTTTTGGAAGTGGGATCTCTCTTGCCCTGCTAGATGTTCCGCAGGGATGTGCCAACATGACTGCGTCTACCTTTCCATCCGCAATCCAAGACAAAACTGTGCGCTGCCCATCTTTTTGTGCCAGATCCACTTTTGCAACCGGTCCCTTTACCCGGCGCTTGTCAACCATGTGATCAATGCCCGAAGCTTCGCCTCCAAGCGCTTTGAATGCTGCCGCAACACCAGCCGTTCCACAAAACAAATCAAGCAAAAAAATAGGTCCGTGTGCCTGTGCTTCCACAGGCGTAGGGTTGCCATCAAGTTTTCGATGGCCTTGATCAGAAAAAGTTGCAGGCACTTCTGCTGTCTCCTGGAACCCTTCGGCTGCAGGAAGTACCTCACCAGAGCGCTTTCGCTTTGACTGTGATCCAGAAACTTGGCTTCTTTCGCCTAAGGTGGCGACACCCTTGCGCTTTCGCAATGGTTCCACTGACGGGCCTTCGCCCTTTTCTGTATTGCGCACGCACTTCTGCGGTTGCAAATGGCCTAGTCACGACCCCTGCTTATGAGCTGTGACGTAGGCATGCTTCTTTCCACAACCTTTCTTGCAACAAAGGTGTCTTCCCTTTTCGCAATCTGCTTGAACAGGTGCCCAAGTTGAAAAAAAGCAGTAAGGGTGGCCTTCATCATCGCATGGAGTGCAGCCCACCAATTGTTTTGGCATTGGGGTCCGCTTGGGCCGCTTCAGCCTCAATGCCTCTTGCTTGTTTTTCTTTGGCTGCTCAGTGCGAGTCCTCTTTGGATCGGACTCCTGTGCAGGCTTTGTTGTCCTCGTCGGCTCTTGCGGGACCTTCACCACGTTCTTTTTCGGGACTGGCATCAGCATCCATCTCAACTCCGGCCCTTCCTGTGTCGTTGGGATGTCCAACGGTAACTCTCCAGCTGGTCCTGGCTTGAATCCTGCTCGAGTCATTTCCGCCAGTCTGATGTGCAACTCACGATCTGCTGCCGCCAGTTGATGGAGAGATGCTGCAGCAAATCCTTCCATCGGTTCCTTCTTCAACTCATAAAAGAAAAAATTGATGATCTTCTCATGGGTCTCAAATGACATAGCCTGAGCCACCTCGTAGGCAATGCCTCGCCTGCGCAAGGCGTTGTGTACATCCAGCTCTGTGGACAGGTTTGCAGTAATGGATGGCTCTTTGTGTGCCGCACGGATGTTGCCTGCGGAGTCAATTTTCCAAATGCGCATGTCATTGTCTTCCTTCACGTTGTTGACTTCCTGTGTCCTTGAGGTGCACCTTGACCATTCAATGTATCGCACCCGTTCATCTTCGACACACTGGACAATTGCATTGATGAGTTGATGCGATGGCTCCAGCACGTTGGCAATCTTCAAGGGTTGGATTCTGCCTTTGAGAAGTTCAAGACGTTGTGCAATCTCTGGAGCCGGCAGCTTTCTGGGTGCTTCTTGTTCATTTGAGTCGACCTTACGTCTGAGGTCTGCCAACGTCAGTGTATGGGATTCGAAGAAAAGCCGCCTCAATTTCGGGGCATCAATGTGCTCAGCTGCGCCCAAAATGGGCGTCACCACGCCGTCTAAGAAGGCCTGTTCATCGGCCCCCGGCTGACAAGCCACTGCAAATGCAAACGTGGCGTGCGTTGTCCAACCCCTCAAGCCCATTGCGTTCAGCACGGCATCTGAAATGCCAATTGCCCGAGCTCGGGTCTCAAAGACCGCCGCGCTGTCAACCAGCGACATGGTGTCCGGCACAGCTCAAAGCTACTCAAATGAAAAAGACAAATATTGCGATGAGTTTGATGCGTCCTGAAAACTTTTGCACTGAGTTAGATCATTGAAGCGTGAAAGTGTTTCTCTGCCATAGGACTCTTCGCCCTCTTCCAGCTCTCTACGAGCCATCTGCAGTCGCTTCAAAAAATCACGCTGAACGTAACAACTCAGTGCCGATCAATCATGCCTGCAAGAAAAATTGAATCTGGATAAATGACGTTGATGCACTCACGAAAATTTTCTTCACACTCCTGTAGTGTGAGGTTTGTTTGATGTCTTCACCTGTGGCTTTCTCACAGCAAGACAAAAAAAAATGTTTTTTTTCCGTCCAACGCCAGATGGCTCTCGCCAGGTCGTTTATCAAGCCGGAAAGACAATTGCATTGTGCAAATTCACCGAATTAATGCAGTGGCAACATTGGTCATAATGACAATGTGAGACAAAAGAGAACTCAATTGGATCGATACATACTCCATTGAGCTGTCACCGTGCAAGACAAAAAGCAAACACCAAAAAAAACACAAACAAACGAAACAGGCCAACACACCAAAAAGCAAACAAAAAACACAAACAAGAAACAAAACCAAAAACCAGCACGGCCGGTGGTCAGCTGATCAGTTCATGGACAATGGAAAATAAGGAGAGATGATAACATTGTATCACCTCAGAGATTGGTATGGCAATGTAAGACAAAAGCGGAACAACAAACCACAGAGTGCCATACAATAATCTGTGAGCCAGGAAGCAACAGATGCACAATGCGGAAACCAAGGCTCCCCCCAGCCAGGAGCCTCGAGATCACAGAGTGCTAGCCGCACGGGCAACATTCTCACAGATTCATGGATACGATCCAAGAGCCAGCAAGACGCTGTCTTGTCGCACCTGGTAAGAAGACGTTGAAAGGTGAAACGTGGTGTGAAAACGGAGCTAAGGTGAAACGACAGAAACTAACGGCGCTCAGGGGCCACTCAGAGTCCTCTCACGTGTGCTTTGTCTGTCATCAGCCTTGAGTGAGTTCTAGTGCTCTTGCAGGACATCTTCGTGAGTGAGTTCCGGTAGATTGGCATAATGTTCTTCTGAAGACGTGCTAGATCCTTTTTCGGTACGGGGCAGTAGCAAGAGAGCTTTCTGTGCTTGACTGACTTCATAGCTCGCTGTGATCGTGCAACTATCCAAAATGCAACTAAGTTGATGTAGTTGCCGCGTTGCATTGTCAAGGTCAGTGATCCGCTGGGGCGGAACTTCAGGGATGCCCTGGAGTTTCTGGCACGCTTTCTCTAAAGACAAAAAAAAGACAAAAACCAGAAAAAAAATGTTTTCTCTCTGACGTCACTCAACTCAATCCATAGGCTGCATTCAGCCATGTGCAGATCTGCTTGCAGGTTGCATTCATGGACACAAACGTGATGCAAACGAGTATTATGACAACACGTGCTTACCTGCCTATGGCTCAGCATTCCGTCAAGGCAGCGTCGTAGAGGATACCGTATCTACCAAAATTTTTTGGGAACGCAAAGCGGAAATTGCTCAATTTTTTTCCGTCCGACGCCTCTTGGCTTTCGCCAGGTCGTTCAACACGTTCGATTGCATGTTGCAGCGATGAGTGAATTAGTTAATTGACGCAAAGATGGCCGTCTACTTATGAGGGGCCGCAAAAGTAAACTGGTGGTGGACCGATACATAGTCCAATGCCGTCACAATTCCGTCACAAAACAAAACCGAACAACAAAACAAAACCAAACAAAAAACACACAACCAAAACAAACCAAAACACACAACACAAAACAAACCGAGAAGGGGAGAAGTGGCCGGCAGACAAGTTATGAGACCTCGGTAATGAATAAGCGTGATATCCTTGTATCATCGCTGGTATTGGTATGGCAGTTAGAGTAAAGCAAAACAGCACTATGCGGAAACCAGGGCTACCCCCAGCCAGGAGCCCCGAGATCACATAGAGCAAGTCGTGCAGGCATGACTACTCACGAGGTAACATTTAAGTTGCCAGCAACGACAATGCCGTGTAACAACTAAAGTGGTGAGACAAGTGTGAAACCAAAGATGAAAAGGACCTAAGTCCAACACCTAAGGCTCTCAGGGCACTCTCAGAATCCGCTCAGTACTTCTTTTCCGATCATCGTCATCCTTGAGCAGTACTCTAGTGCTCTTGGAGTTGATCTTGATCCTGAAACGCATGATATTCATCATCTGTTGGCAGTGACACCTGTGCGTTTAATTCATCGGATGATGTGCTTGCACCTTTAGCTGTACGCGGCATGAACAGCAGTGCTTTTTGCGCTTGACTAACTTTGTAGCTGGCAGAAATTGTGCAACTGTCCAAAATGCAGCTCCGACGTAGTTGGCGTATGGCAGTCTCGAGGTCAGCGATTCTCTGAGGTGGGACGTCTGGGATACCTCGGAGTTTCTGTTGTCGAGAAGTTTGGTAACAGCATCAATCTCGTCTGCAGTGACTTGGCACAGAGTCAGTTGAGTAATTGATGTCGCTAAGCGGTTCACAGCAGCGTCTTCCATTGCAAGCTAGCAGGCAAACCAGGAGAAATGAAGCAGTGGCAGGCTGTGTCAATTGGACAGCTACAGCCAGTAAGCTGTTCTGCAACCAGTCGTGGGTCTCCCACGTTGGCTATTTCCATGAAGGTACCGCCAGTGCATCAGCGCGAAGATTGAGCATAACAGCAACAGGTGCCATGGCCATCGTTCTGGTCTACTACCACCAAAGGAAAGCAAAGCGGAAATTGCTCAAGCTGCTCGAAGCCGCGGAGGCCGCCTGTAAGTCACTGAGAGCACACATCGTTGCCCACTGTAAACACTCGCCAAGTCACTCAAACAGTTCACAAAAAATTTGTCAATTGTGAAATGAAACTGCTTTCGAGTCTGCACTCACTGCTGCATTCAGACCTCTAAGCTGCTAGCCGCAGGCGTGAGACCGCTCTGCCCTGATGCACGGGTCGGGCACTGCTCCCCTCCTAATCAGGAATTGGTTGCACAGAAAACCAAAACAGAATCTCAAGACAGGAGAACCAAAAAAAAAACAGCAAGAGTCCACTCTGCGACCCCTTTCGTGTTCTGTGACATCATTCTCGGCCCTATGCGAAGATCACTTTTGCAGAAACATTGCACTGCTGGCTTTGAGGTCTGGACGAGTCACTCAAGACGCTCTTTGTGGGTTGGTTTTTGTTTTGTTTTTGTGTTGTTTTGGTGGTTTGTTTTTGCTTTGTTTGTTTTGTTCTTGATGATGACGGCTTATTGGACTATGTACAGGTCCTTCACCAGTTCTCTTCTGTGGCCCTTAATCAGCAGACGGCCTCGCGTGTTAATTTGAAATCACTGCTTTTGCAATGCCATAGAGCGTGTTAAACGACCTGGCGGAAGCCATGAAGGCGTTGGACGGAAAAAAAGAGTCACTCAAGACGCTGTGTCTCTCAGAGTGTTGACTCGACGAGATGCTGTTTCATTGAAGCACAACACATGAATGACATGACAGACATGAAAAAACGAAGGTTCAAGTGAGAAAACTGAACAAAAACATTTGGGTAGGAAGTTTCCAGCCTGCTCAACCTCTTGCAGAAAAGAAATCTTGACGAGTTGAACTACGAGCCTGCTCAATGGAAGCACAAATGGAAGTAGAGTACTGTGCCGCGTTGCCATGGACAAGCACTGTTTTTTCTTTTCCTCTGGTACGGCCGATCACGCTCTGAGGCTCGGTCCTTACATGAGAAGAAGCTGTTTAAGAAAACTTCTACATGGACACAGGTGGTCGCATGCAGCGTGGCAAATCATCAAAACCAGAACACCACCAAAAACAAAGGCAAGTTGCCATAGGCAAGCACTGGCTCTCCATCGTGGGCAGTACAGATCCACAGGGGTGATCTGTAGCCATCCGCAACAAGTCATACAGGAACTCTCGATCAATGGAGCATGGGAAGAATCCACTGGCCGTAAGACGGTGATCAGCAGCTCCTCGATGCAAGTGCTGTGGCGACTTCCGGACTGAGACGCAGCTTGGCTTTCTGGGCAATGACAAGGCGGTATCTTCGTAGACCCCGTGATTCCGTCAACTGTGGCAGTCATGGCAATTGCCAATGGCGGCCGGTCTTGTGACATGAAGGGAGTATCAAGTCTCCAGTCAAGCATTGCTGCAGCATCGGTTGGGATTTGAGCAGTGCCTAACTCATGATGCCCATGGGTTCCCGGACTGCAGCGACTGCCACGACGCCAACTTGCCGCACTTCAGGACAACGGCACCGCCATCAGGGTCAGTGTCTGTGCTCTTTGCAATGTGACAGCATCACTAACCACATGTTAAAAAACTCTCACCTGCATGACCTTCCAATTCTCTGGCAAGTGCTTCTCCCACTATTTGTGCCACGACGTCAGCCTCCTGCTCTTTGTTAGAGGTGTTGCACTGCAGCCCTTAACTCAGGCCTCTTGGCTTGGTCGCTGATTGAGGAGATTGAGTCGATCTGCTCACAGGTCATCTGCTGGTTCAGACTGTGAATACCCTTCTGAGCATGGCGAGACCCTCTTCCACTCGTGAGCCCACGTATCGTCAGCCTCTGGCTGACCTGAAGGCTCAATGTACAGTCTAGCCACAGTGAGGACCTTGTTTTTGGCTCTAAGGTCCGAGCTGTGCTCCATAGGGTCTGGGGTCACTGAAAGGTGACTTGGACTTTCCACGCCTTTCTTGGATCGTCTTCTCCGTTCTTCTGCTGCCTAAGTGACAATGCACTTGTCTGAGAAGGTGCAGTACAATCATCTTCCGTGCCCAGTGCTCGAAGGAACTTGCTCTTGGGTAGACGGGCCGAGGGTGTAGAAAAAGCGCGGTGCACAGATCTGCGGTCAGATCTAACGCTTCATCAAAATTCCTACAGAACTACGCAGGCAAACGCGTACGTCAAACACGCACACCAAACACAAGCGCAGAGCGTAAATTCACAAACCTAATTAAACTAAAG